TAGTTGACACAACGATCTGCCGATGAGTGGATGGAGAGCCGGGGTATATATACTGCTGAGGTGATGAGGAGATGGAGAGCTGGTGTGCAGGTTTGAGCAGGTGAAAGGAATGAACCTCAATCAGGAGGGAGCCACAGAGTGAGAGAGCCATGACAGGCATAAAGTAATGACTTTTTAGATACATTTTTTTATGGAGCAGCATAGTAAGAAAGAAACTAGTCATTCCCAGATAAGTGACACGTGTGACTTAATTTACAATATCCCATTACTTTTCATCCCCCTGAATTTAAATGAGAGAGAAGAAGTAATTTTGTGGTAGGGCCTACAAAAAATAGAAAAGAATGAAGTATCTCCATCAATTTATGTTGGAAAATAACTTAATTGGTGTCTAACATACTGTAGGTGTGGAACTTAATAAATGAGCTGTGCTACACCAGTGAATGTGTGTAACCTCCTGCTCCCCTCTGCAGCTGAAGCCAGAGATGGAGCGCTATGAGTGGGTGGTGATCCGCCACCCTGAGTTGGCCTCCTCCATCAAACCTCAGGACCAGGAAGATGGAGCCGCCCCCGAAGCCCCAAACACAGAAAACAACGGCTTAGCGCAGCCAGAGAAACCTGTTGGAGAGCTTTCCCCTTTCCTCTCCGCCCGCCATTTCAACCTCAACTCCAAGAATACATCGATGTTCATGGCTGGGAACTTTGACTCCATCATAGTGGGTGAGTGGATTCTTCATGTTGTGTTGGATTATTAACCTTTGATCACATGTCTTTTGATAAACGATCTAAATAGGAACAGTAAGAGAGCTGTATAAAAAGTATGTTTTGTGTGTGATCAGGTGGTGGTGAAGGCAACGCTCTCTACATCGACTCTGAGCTCAACCACGGGCGCACCGGCCGATGCACCACCTTCGACAACCCGCCCCTCTGTGCCGAGAGCTTCCAGGTTTCACTGCTGGAAACGTGGGGCTTTGAGGATACCATGTCCAAATAATGCTGTCCACATGAACACACAAAACACATGTGAATCCATGCATACACAGCTCACACTTGTACATAGAAAAAAACAGAAATCTTTATATATAATGTCCAGCAGTGTTCGAGTAAACACAGCGATATGCAAACAAAACTACGTCCGTCCTTATTAAGAAATTAAAATAGGTAACTTTTTTTATTTATTAAAACATTTCAACATGTGAATAGAAATGTGATTTCATTTTCCCTGTTTATTTTTGTATTTACAGATTTGTCATTATGGTGTACTAATTATGTGAAGGTGTTCAGTGATATGAAAGATATGTTCAGGACTACAGAAAAAGCCTATTGAAGCAGTTTGTAAGTGGGCTGTAATGTCTTCATGCTCATGCTGGACTGAAAAAGGTTTAAATGTCTGAATGTAAATGTGGTCTTTAATGTTCTCTGTTTCAGCTTTATCTGCCAAATGAACTGTACAGGTAGCTCTGCAGTCTGTTGACACACGTCGCTAGGCTAACCGTGTTGATAAAGTGGGGTTAAAGGTTAAAAAACGTGAAGTCAACGATGATTATTGTGGTGAGATGCTTTTTAATGTATGAAAAGAAGTGGTGAAGTTGGTCCAGCTATGATTTACTTTTGTCTCAGTTAAAAAAAAAAATCCCTGGCTTGAGATCTCTCCTGTATCAATCGTGGTAAATATTTGTGAATATCAGTGGTGAATTTGAGTGTTGCCATTTCTGCACTTTATATGGAAGCTTTCTTTTTGACCCAGTGACAGTCTCTCTTCTGTATGGTGAATGGATTCATGTGACTAACAGGACAAACTTTTTAAACAAAGTGAAAACTCAAGGTGTTTTGGTTTACAAATAATGACTATAAAAGCAGTTCTTTCCTCCTCCTCTTCTTACCATTTTCCTGTTACTTCCGTCCTTTGCAGTGTGAAGATAGCAACAAAACAGTCCAAATGTATGCCCTGACTGCAAACTGTGTTGTTGGGGTTTGTTTCTGTATGTTCAGGAGTGCTCCAGTGTAATATCAGTTAAGAAACTAAAAATGTATTCTACATGTGAAAATACACAAGTATACTTTGAGCAGCTGTCTTTGTCTCATTGTGTTTGTACTCTTTACTTTTCCTTCAATCAAATCTGTCCCATCTCCGTCCTGCAACGAGAGGAGAACATTCCTTCAGACTGTCACAGAAGTGTGCCAGATGCCTTTTCACAGTCATGTGACCGCCCCCCCATCCCTATCTCCTTGTTGTGTGGTTAACTCTACTCTCATAGCAGTTACAGCTAGCATGCTTTTTCCCCAAAAACATGTTTTCTTTACATGATAAAAAAATACATTTCATAGTGCAAATCGAGTATGTAAACACTTTTCAAATGTTTGAGCAGATACAGCAAATGACAATTGACCTGATCTTCCCTTTTTTCATAATTACTCATACACACTTCTTGATGCACTTTGTCTATTTATTGGACATTTTGTGGATGTGTCTAAGTGCATGACTGGAAACTGTTTGACAGAGATGAGTCAGTTATACTACAAATAAATCTACAAAAGCCTTCCATTTCTTTTTTTTAAACTATTAGCCATCTTGCAGATTTCAGTAACACCTAATAGGGGAAAAGGAGCCTCCTCACAGCACTCTTTTTTTTTTTTTTTTCTTCCCACACCTTTTTAAAATTAGATATAACAGTTTAAAACCATTCCTTGTTAATCGATGCGTCGCAACTCCTTGAATAGAGATTTCATTTTCAGTGGGTGTGGCACATCCTAATGCATCTGCAGTAATATTGTATTTTAGAATGCAAAGTGTTGGAGTAATTCCTTTGTTACAGTAAGAAGCATCGACTCTGAGCTATTCATTCAGGATTCACACTCTGCTAATCGCACATGCACTTCTATATTTAGCCTCTCCTTTGGGTGTTGGTCTGGCGCATCTCCTGAAAACCACGCTTCCCTGCCTCGAGGAGTAAGATGCTTAAGTGTTTAACTCTACACAGAGATGGGTCTCTTCTCGGACAGCCCCCTGCCCCTTAAATAAAGGGGAGTGGACAGGGGGGGGAATAAGATGCAGACTGAGGACGTCCCAACAAGTAATGTTTTTATGCACATGAATATAGATATTTGGTTAATGCTTACATTTACAACACATTGTAATTGATTACTGCCTTGTGGACTGTACATCAGCCCTTTAAATTTTTTTATTCATGACTTTTATAGTTTTTCAGCTGATGTCTGAAGGAAATAAATTAGTAATGTAAACTTAAAAAAAGGCTTAACAGTTGTGTTTTTAGTTGCTGAAACCATCTTTAATGGGGAAATCTAATCGAAAGATATAGGACTATCCTTTATGTAGAAGCTGGACAAGCCTTACACAAAGTACTGTAGAACCTGTCCCAATCAGATGAGAACGTACCAGACAGAGCCATAGAAAGATAAAGGATCTACATTTAGGATGGTCATGCATTGCCGGTGTACCTTGAATGATATTGTAACAGTTAGTGGGAAGGGCTTCATGGTACATCTTGATTTTTAGTCTTGATTTAGTCATGCCCTGGTCACAATGTTCCCTAAACACCTTTCTTGGAAAAATCTGAATTTGAAGGACCAGCCTTATAACAAAGCTTGGTCTTATCTTGTCCTGTTGATACACTCCACTCAAGGACAAGGGCATCAATCTAACCCTTGATCCATTCACCCAAAACAAACACGAAACAATGATCTGATACATGTTACTGTTGTACGCTTTTAAATGAGCTGGTTGTTTGTAAATGTCTCCAGAATATAGAAACATCATATTCCAAGCTGAAGAGAGGGGCTACATCCGTATCCACCTTAAGGAGTGAATCCTGGATCAATGGCCTGTCAGTCAGCCGAGAACAAATCCTCCTTTTAACTGTGTGACCTTTCTGTTATTACTGATTAACACACACGCACACGCACACACACGCACACACACACACACACACACACACACACACACACACACATCATCCATGCCTCCAAAAAACATCTTCTCCTTATGCATAATTTGGCAGCAGAAGTATGGTGTTTGCTGTGTAAAGCATTTGAAAGGAAGGAGGCCTCTGATGCTGCTGTAGAAATTGCATCACTAGTGGAGGGGCTTTTCAGTGATATGAGGGGGAGGGGTCCATCTCTGGTGCTGACTAGACCAGGCAATGCAGAGAGGAAGCAGGATGGAGGGATGGATGGAGGGAGAGCACGGGAGGAGGAGTAGGAGGAGGCATGGGGACTGCAAGCTCTTTCTGACTCACACACAATCGCACACATTTCATTTCTCCTATGGTGTCCTAGCTCTACCGACCCCCACCTCTTTCTGGATCTCTGAGCCTACACTTGCTGGGAGCTATACAGTGAAACGGGGATTCTCGGTTCCCTCCCCCACCAACACGTACACACTCAACCTCAAATTCTCTCACTCTCACGCTCCACGTTGCTGCATATAACGGCTGACTGTGAAACCACCCTCTGCTGCATGGTAGAGTCCTGGTGCAAAATGCAGAAATGTGTTTGGAAACTTGCAACATTGACAATTTGAGCATTTGGAGAGCTCCCTTTAATCAGTTGATGAAGCAGGACATTTAGTCTATTTATTAACAAAATGTTGGCATACTTAAACATTGAAGAATTTGTATGATTCTGTATTTCCTGTTTATAACCTAAAATTAAAAATTAAAACAATGTCACCACACCCTCTTGCTTAATCTTTTCATTTGATCCTTCAGCCTCTAAAGCGTGAATGCTGGATAATAACAAAAGGGAGCCTGCAGCGGAGCACACCAATATGATGCCCAATAGGGGTGACCTTCAAAAAATAAAAAAATAACAAAACATTTAAATACTTTCTTTATTCGTAGTAGTTCTTAATTCGTGTTAACTATCGCCCCTAATGTCACAAGTTTCTTCCTGAAACCCGGTATATCATTAACAAACCCGGTTATGGTACGCCCCCCACACCCAGTAGATGATAGGTTTTATCCATACGGCCAGTCAGGTGATACATTTTCCGCTTCGCCATTTTGTCCTGCTGCGCCGGGTATTTATCAGAGAGTCGTGACTATCCCGTTTACACTGCTAGTTAGCTGCTCAGACGGGTTTCACTTCAAGTCTGTGGCATTTGATAGGTTTCGCGAAGTGCGATTTTTGCGTCCATACTTATAATAAATTTTGTATATTTAGTTTATTTTTATACTGTGTGAGTAAGAATGTCGGCCGAAAGCCCCGCATATTCTCCGTTCTTTGCAGTGATGGGAGCCTCTGCGGCTATGGTGTTCAGCGGTAATTATTACACCTTTTGCATTTAATCTGTTTATTTCTAACGAAATGTCAATGTGTGATATTGCTACTAGCCCCTTGTGTATTTAAATATTCCCAATAGGGTGCTTTTAATTGTCAACGATGGTCTCTAGTAAAAGCCTTCCGCTAGCATTAGCCTCGCCAATGTTAACACGCAATGCTAATCTTGAGCTGTCATATATTTAGACGTAACTGTCAGTTAGGGTAGCCCTTGAATTAGGTTAAGTTTTAACATGGGAATGTTTTTACAAGTTATAGTAAATTAATACTATTATTTCAACAAAAGACAGATAATACTGGTAAAGTAGCTGGTTTCTGACGATGACATATGTTAGCTTTGTCGTTAGCCTAGTTAGGTTAGCTAGGTTCGCTGTAACGTTATTCTATATCTGAATGTTAGAGAAATAACAGGATACTCTTCATAAACACGACTGATCTATAGAGACAGTGCCTGTTAGAGTACAGCTATCTGAAGGTGTGGACGTGTATTTAATTTATAATCCAACAGCTTGATACCTTTTTCTCCCTGAACTTTTGTATTGGTTACGTTTATGTCCGCTTTAGGTTCCACATTAAGATATAAATTGAGATATTGAAACTATGAAAGTGTATGTGATAAAATATATAAAACTGTTTATTGAAGCTGTACGTATCAGTACCCAGTGACGCACAGTAATTGTATTGACGTCGTGCTGCGTTCACTGTCGCTGCACTGCCACAATTTGCCATCTGTCAAATCTCTGCAAGCAAAATCACATTTATTGGCATTTATATTTATCTGAAAACCGATTTTCCGATGACCACTGGTCTGGAAAACAGGATCAGCTGGTTAACTTCCTTATTGCTGAGAAGGATGACATAAGGTCACATGATTATCACATGATGAGACTTCTGACTCGTCTAGCTACTGATCTATTGAAAAACGAGTGTATTGTTACATAGTAAGCAATTGTCATGTGCAGAAAATAATATTTACTTTAATTCATGAGACTATTTGACAGCACATTGGTGTCTTTGGGTAGAAAATGGGAAGTGGCACAGAAAGGGAACTTTGTAACTGTCTTTCTTTATTGTTGGTCCTACCTGTTTTTATGGGCCCTTGTTTATTATTTTTATTTCCTAAAGATAGGAGCTTCATCATATGCCAAGGGAATGCTTTATTATTGCAGCAAGTGGCCTGCATGTGACTAGGGTGACTGGTGGGATTGATGCAGCTCCAATATGAAATCCACAAGCTACTAGTGCTAATTGACCATGTCACAGAGGGCATGTCCTGCTGTAGCTCGAGGCCTTTGGCCAAAACTGAGCAATTTTTGGTAATAGATGGTGCATACATACATTTCTGTCCAGGAGTTTTTCCTGAATTAAGATTAAGTCTTTCCCATGTGCCTATTTATCAGTCAAATAGCAAAAATAATTTGTAATCGCCTTTCAGCAAATTATATTAGGCTGCACACTGAACAGAAATCAGATTTATACTTTTTTTTTTTTCAGCTTGAGGTTTGAAGAATTTCAGATTTAGATTAATCTAGCAATTCACAATTCATGATGTAAAAATACCCTATTGTGCCATGCAGCTTCTGTATTTGATTTTTACATTGGGCAGTGTCCAGAGCCAACACCAACTCCAGTCTTGTCATAGCTCAGGTTTAATGTGTAGTGATAGGGAAGGGCAGCGTGGTGGTGGTGGTGATGGCCCTGAAGGCTAGCAGTACTACTGGTCTGTTGTAGTGAAGGAGTGACAGCTGGGGAATTAGCTAGGGAGGGGATCAAGCTGGCACAAAGCAGGGACGTGGTAGTGGCGGGATAGACAGGGAGACTTGATGATTCAGACATCAGCTTTAAGGGTCTTGAAGTGCTTGGTGTCAGTTAAAGGACATTTTGGCTTGAGATTTAAGTCACTGAAATTTAGCTAAAAGACAATTTCAGCTGTTCACTTCCTATGTATTCAGTGAGTTATATTTTGGGGATTGGTCCTGGTTAAATTTTTTAAAACATCAAACAATGTCACACTCAGCACAATTCTCAATTAGTGTGAACATTGATTATTTTAATATCATCACTATGCTGAGGAATATCATTTATAAGCCATGATCCGTAGCATTCAGGTGTCAGAAGATGTTGCACTGTTTGAGTAGTCTGCTGATGGTGACCTGTCGTGAGGACTTCCCTTTTGAGTGATGCTTGGCTCTGAACAGGTGACACTCACAAGGGGCCATAACCTCTGAGACTAGAACAACCACACCCACTGTAGCTCCGTTGAAGCTGTTTCTATCTGTCTCTCACTAATTTTATTAGTTTATTTTATAGTCTTATATTTGATCTCTTTTTAAGTAAAACAAGTTAAGCCGGTCTTAAGTCTTTGATAAAGACTGACAATGTACTTTTAGTTGCGCTGACAACAGTTCTGTTTGCTACCAAGATTAGAACAGCATCTCTCTTTGTCATGAGCATCTGCCTTTCTAAATCCCTTTTACAATAAAATGCCTGGTGGTTCTGGCACACACTCTTCAGTGCTTAGGTATAGTTGGTGATGGCAGAATATTTTCTGAATTTCTAGCCAGTCTCATTATTTCCACATGTACCTTCATAGGCAGTGTTGGCTGAAGCTGGCATGCAGCTGGAAAAACGTTTTTACAACTACAGTATGACCTTCCTCCTTTTTTAGTTCTTTGAAAGCAGTGTGCTTCCCCATTCCCCCACTATTCATAACAGACCAGTGTGCTGTGTATTGCGTGGGCTTATTGCATGCAAGATCATCCCTGGCTGCGGGCACCTCCCACTCTGACATCACAAGACGTCACAAGGGCATCCCATACATGAAATATTCTGCAGGGAGGGGGAAAAAGGAGAAAAAAACTGTTAACCTAAACTGAGGGGATTAGGATTATAAACCCAGACGTTGTGCTTCCACACAAATGCAGAAGCCGACCTACCATCCATCAAATGTTTAATCGTCAGGACAGTATGATGTTTGAGAACTTAAGGGCTTCTCCATCAAGCCTCACCTGTCACAACTCAGTGAGGCCAGGCTTACCGAGAAAGACCACAGGGGGAGGGTAACGTTACCGACGGTAACATATAACACTGGTTGTAAAAGCTGTTTAGCTAAAGGCATAGATGTTTCCAGTATATTCTCTTGAAGCTGCTAAATTTGATTTGAAAAATATCTTTATTTCTTCTATCCTTGTCAGGTTTTTTTTTTTTTTTTAACTTCTTGACGTTTTGTGGCTTTTCTTAGAGTGCAAGTCCCTTTGTCTAATGTGATGCACTCAGAATAAATTATATAAAGCCAGCACAAACTATACTGTGAGCAATCTGACATTTCCACAAAGTCAGTAGAAAAAAATCTGAGATGGTTTCTTGTGTTGAGCCAGGTTTTACTCAGACACATCGCTATAAATGGGCAGGAGTGATTTAACCTTGTATTGACGGCAACAGTCTGATGATAGATCAATGTAGGGGATGTGGCCAGCTGCCATGAGCACATTTGAAGATTGGCCCTCATCATCCTCGTGTCTGCCTCCCAGATCTTTTTGCCAGAATGCCTGACAGCTAGTCTGAGTTGACCAGAACTACCTCCAGGCTTGAGCAACACATTGTCCCAAGAAATAGAAGAACTGAGGGCAGGGACACCTCAGGCTGTGTGCACAATGCTGCCTCCAAAGATCATCTCTCAGGACGCATTTCTGTTTTAATCATCATCAGTTTGGTGGCTATGATGCTGCAAGAAAACTTCCACTGCCAGGTCTTTCTTTAATACTCCAATAACATGACAAGATGTGCACAATAATCCAAGGATGTATTAGCTTACTCCTTTATGATATTGCTTTTTTAATGTTTGATTATGTTGCTTAAGTTTGTATGACAGAGCAATTTGGCTCTGTTTTACAAATTGCACACAAGTGACAACAAGATTGTGTTATTGCAATAAAAAGCTACAGAGGGCAGACAGATATTTTAACATCAGAGCAGCATCCTAGAATCTGTAGAAGTTGCAAATATCTTCCCGTTTCACAATAAATTACATGTAAAGATGTAAATGTGTGCGACGCTGCTATTAGTGAACATACTGCTGCTGCACAATGGTTCAATCATCTTTTTTTCCCTCTCTAATTTGTTTTGCTTTGGCTGAGGAAATAAACAGGTTTCCATCAGCACTTGTACACACCTGTGACATTAGCTTCTGGTTCATGAAACATTCTTGAGATCTGTGAGCCTTTGTTGTTTGTTGTAAAAGACAGATTACAGTCGATTATGTAAATATGAGATCTATTACATATCTGCCTATTGCTCTTGAAAGAGGGATCTTCCTCTGTTGCTCCTTCTGGTGTTTATTTCTGATTTCTTTGTTAATGTACACATAAAAACTAGTTCCTTATGTACACTTTCTGTTCTTTATCTGTATACACATCTTTTCTAATTTTAGAGCATAGTGATTATTGATTTTCACGCTCCTGCAGTCAAACTCGTGTGACGTAGGTGCACTCTGCTTTCTAAGCTAATATGCTGATGTAGCTTTTTCTTCCCCTCCCTCCCCGCCACATTTCACTGATGCTAGCCAGAGAGCACAAGAAGATGCACACAGCAGATGTGTATACTACTAGTCTTCCTATGATGCCCATACTGCACTGATGCTGCTTCTGGACGTGTGGAATCCTGCTCTTTTACGACATCAGCAGCACATGTGTACTTAAGCCTTATGAGGCTTTTTCATTCAGATTGTTATTTACAACTCTGCCTCTGTCTGGCAGAGACATCAGTGAAATCACAAGGGCTGAATACGTTTTATGGACATGAGAAAGTGTGACAAAGGTGTATTTTGGTGTTGAGTCTGCATCAAGAAGGAGATCTGTTATTTCCTCCTTGATACCAGCAAAAATTCCCCCAGTGGAAACATATTGGAATTTTTAGAGGAAGAGAAACTGAAACAGTTGTTGTATTGCTCCATCTCCTATTTCACTTCTGCTTCATTATTCAGCTGTGCCTTCTAGTTTCTCTAGTCAGCCTGCTAGCATATTGCACCTTTCATTGTATTGCCTGTACTCTAGTTTTTAGCTGTTTATTTATCTTAAGTTATTCTCTCTCTGCCCTACCAGCCTTGGGAGCAGCCTATGGCACGGCCAAGAGTGGTACAGGGATTGCCGCCATGTCTGTGATGAGGCCGGAGCTCATCATGAAGTCAATCATCCCTGTAGTCATGGCGGGTATTATAGCCATCTACGGCCTGGTAGTAGCAGTGCTGATTGCCAACAACATCTCAGAAACAGTCTCTCTCTACAAGTGAGTTTGCTTGACCTCATGTATGTTTTTGTTATTAGGCCACACATCTCATGAAAATGTCAGGGGGGTTCAATTAATTGGTTTAAACACAGTCGTGGTTTGGCCCTGTCAGTCTTGTGGGGCTTGGTGTATGCAAGATAGGAAGCAAAATGCAGACCTAGGTGTTACTCGGTCATTAAAAAACAAAATACACAAAACAAAAAAAGAAACCAACAATGATGTACTCCTGCCAGTACAGTTTAAAACTTTGGACAGCAGTTCAGGCTATTTAAAGCATATGCAGTAAATGGCATATACTTTAACTTAACAGATGTAAACTTGTTGTCCCATACTTATGAAGAAATTTGTCTCCCAATGCAGCCATATACCTTTTTTTTTATGTATAACGTTTAGGGGAACAACAGATGTTTAAATCTAGATGCAGCATATAGATACAATAATGTCAACCATACCAAATAAAAATGAACTAAATACCTTTTTTTTTTATATAATTTAAAAACATCTGCAAATGTATGAGTCATACGAAAACAGTTCACTGTTCTTTTAAGAGAAGGATGTATGCATTATAAAGATTGGAAAAAGTAAAACTAGCAGAAACCACAGAGATTTGGTTTATAGCCTGACCGAAGTACATGTGCAGTTAGTTTCCAGTTGAGTGACCATCTTGTATTCATTAAATATCTTTTCCACAATTGTTGAATATATGTATTTGAGGGATCAACGCAATACATCTGTATATCTATCTCCGAAGAGCAGACATCGATCAAAGAAACATATCGACCGATATCAGAATTTTTTCTCTTCCTAATATGAGCCCCTAATATCTCATATCTGTCATCTTTGATATTCCTCCTGCTGACAAACACTTCTCTCTTTGTGCTCAGGAGTTTCCTCCATCTGGGCGCTGGGCTGAGCGTGGGCCTCAGCGGGCTGGCGGCAGGCTTCGCGATCGGCATCGTGGGAGATGCAGGCGTGAGGGGCACAGCTCAGCAGCCGAGGCTTTTTGTGGGCATGATCCTGATTTTGATTTTTGCTGAGGTCTTGGGTCTTTACGGGCTCATCGTCGCCCTCATCCTCTCCACGAAATAAAACAAACACCCAAACATCTCCACTACAAGATCTGTCCTTAATGTTGCTGCTGGAGAAAAAGTTTTAAACGGGAAAAAATTGTAAAAAGAAAGATAATTCTGCCACACAAGATGAAAGGCGGGGAAAAAATGAATTAAAATGGCTTCATAAATATGGTCTTATCTCAACAATGTGTACAGTCGTCCCAATTTGATAGTCAACTTGTAAATGCGCAATGTAGTGATTTGTCTGTCGTGTGTGTGTGTGTGTGTGTGTGTTTCAAAACAGTTGTATGATGAAGATTCCTTTTTTTCCCTCCACTTATTTCTGGCCTTAGGGCTGGCTGAGGCAGTCCGGCCTCTGGTTATAGAGAGCTGACCAAAGGGCCGCACAGCTGTTTCTCCTCCTATATCAACCTGGGAGTGACACAATTTCTGCATTAATCTCGAGGATCTATTTGTAAAGAGAAATGTATATGGACTTAAGATTTTTTTCCACTGATTTTATTTATAAGAAATTGTTCATTGAACTGTTTAATGCAGCAAAGTCTTTAAATCCCCAGGATATATTATACATATTATATACAGACATATAGATAGATTTAATGCACTGTGGGGTAATTGTGATAAGTGGTTGGAATTCCTCTGGATGTAATTCTTGGTTTAATAATTAAGATTGCCTTTAGTATGTTGCTGGTGAAGTGGGAGTTTTTGTGTGTAGCTGTATTCTAATCATTACGCAAACATTCTCAAACTTCAGTGTTTTTCCTGTAGTACTGCTGTTTGCATTAAAGGTGTGTGTGCCCCGTGTTGGGTGTCACAAGTGTAATTTCCAAAATTCCATCTCCATCTTTTTCACCCACTTCCTCTCATGTGGCTGTTCTTCATCTCATCCACATTCCAGCCATTAAGATCCTGCATGGGTTTCAGTGTCTTGTTGCTGTTGGATATAAGGCTGACGAACAGGCTAGTTTCAGAAGATCAAACCAAATCAAAATGTGTGTTTAATGTCGTACAGCTCCTCCCCCCAAAAAAGAGAAGACTTGATGCTATCCTGTGTAGTGTTTAGCAGAAATCCAGTGAGATTAATGCTCAGGTTTGGCCTAGTTTCATGAAAACACTAGTACATTTTGATCTGGAGTTTGTTTTCTGAAAATGGACCGGCTGCTGATGCATTTACTGAAGCGCCAATCTACAATCCTGTATTACCACTGGTATTGAAGTTAATCCTGATGTGTCGACGTGTCACAATCAAATTAAAGAAGATTCCAACTTCGAGTTGACTGGTTCCGCACACGCACACGACAAGGGGTTTTCAGTCCTGTATGTTTTACTGGGAAACAAGTTTTATAAAGGCAGAGTGATTTACAGTTGTATCACTGCATGTCTTTAAACTGGCTGTAAAACAGTAGCACTCTCACTGTTTCCCCTCTGCAGTAAAACATAATGATCTTCACACTGTGGTTAACACCCTGCAGAGCTGCAGCCCTGAGAGATAACTGATAAAAGTCTGTATTGTACTGTTAGCAGTTACACATTTGAAATAAGGTATCCGCACAAGATGATAAGTAAAAGGCTTTATACGATGTTCAACTGTACAAGATGAATATCAAAACAGAAATCATTACATCTGCATTAATCAGGACTTTTCACAACAACACAATCCAAAAAGAAACTGATGGCTTAAGCAGTTTGGAGGCTGTTCAGAAGAATCTGAGAAATACTGCTGATAGCACTGAAGGTGGCACTGTCAGGAAACAACTGTTGGAAGTCTTTGCCCTCCTCTATGCTCGAGCTGAGCAGAGGATCCAAGGGCACAGAACCTGGAAGAGAGGAAAAGCATTGAATGTATTTAACACCTGATATATCAATGTTCATGAATGCTTTACCAAAACCTTAATGCCTCAATATACTACTAAATAATCTGATAATCAATAGTAAGAGTCAAGTGGGTGTTTCAGAGCATTGACCTATCAAATACTTGGATTGCTAAAGCATCGCAGCACAAACACACAGCTGCCTTCTCGCAGCCACAGGCGAAGCTGAATAAGCTGCATCATTACTCACAGGAATGATCCGCAAACAAAGCGGATAAACACTGAGGCAAATGTAGTAGATCAATTCATTTGAATGAGGATCATTGATAACCTGCATCGTGCCTTTACTGAGCTATTTTAAACCTCTGCACTGGAGTCTGGATCGACCATTTTAGCAGCAAGCTAGTGATGTAAAATGCCTCCTAAATCATGAATGGATGGGAGAGGAGTGATGTGTTGTCACGGTGTGATGTGACACCTTGTGGCTGGAAACGAGCACTGCATGTTATTTAATGAGCTCACCTAGGAAGACCGATCCAGTCAGCTTGGCCAACTCTTCACCGCCACCCTTTGAGAAGATGTTGCTGCATTCCTGCAAAAATGTTTTATTACATTACATATCACATGAGTGTGACCAAAAATTAATTAAGCCTTTTTGATATTTCACTTCTGAATAGTACACATTTGATGGTATGAAAGTATTTACTGAACAATGTGGACAAACAAAGCCGCTCATGTTCTCGACGATGCCCAGGATCCGAACGCCAGTCTTCTTACAGAAAGTGATCTCTCTCCTCACATCCCCTGTTGACACTGCCTGGAGGAAACAACACAAGACAAACATTTTCACTGAATGTCATGATGCCTCTTACAAAAATGTTTTAATATACAGCACAATCTCAGTAGAAGTTCTGCACATTATGTCATACTTTATGTCATCATTATTGGGATATGAAAATGCTCAAATAGCAAGTCACTAAAGACTGCAAGAAACAATTGCAAAAAAAAAAAAAAATGCATTCACAATTTGAAGCCAATATAATCATGCCCCATCTAGCTACTATTTACCAAAGATGAATTGGGGTCAACTTCATTGCGCTGCGAGGCAAGCTAGCACATTGACTAAGTAAGAAGTGAAGAGCAAGGTAAATAAAATGTTTAATAAAAGAAGCACTTCTGCTGATTGGAATTATTTTGGATTCAGAGACATCAGTTAACTTGTGTACTGCAAAATAACTGAGCTTTCAACATCTGTACTTCTGACTGTTTTTGTGAGTTACATGTAAGCATTTGTTGGAGGCATTTTTTAAACTTTGGTTTCAATCTAGAGTTGAACAGCAGTGATCAGAGTAAGCTCTTAAATATGACAAGCTAATATATATTAATTGGTTTTCTGTCAAACTGAGCCATGGGCTGGTTAATTTCTCTTACATTGCTATCAAAGCCTTTTTCTTATCTTATCTCAGACTACTTATTGCAACAGGCTGAACGTATAAACAGCCACATGTGAGCTTTCTTTAAAGCGGTGTGTGAACCTTCCCTTACACTATCTTTAGTCTTCTTGCTCATCCTATATGTAGAGGCTTTCACAGACTCGTGGGTACCTGAGGTGTGGTGACCAGAATGGCTCCATCCACTCTGTGTTTTTTAAGGTTTTCCAATACTGCTAAATGCTCATCAGACGTCCCTGGTGGTGTGTCCACTAGCAGCACATCCAGCTCTCCCCACGCTACATCTGACACAAACTGGCCAATCAGAGCTGTAGGAGAGAACAATCAGAGGTGGAGAGAGAAAGTAGATAATAGAGTAGATACAGTGGGTGGAAATAATACAGTGTAAGACATGAATGTTAAAGCAACAATAGGTCTGTTTATTAATGTTAAGAGCCAAAACAAGTGGCATACCCGTCTTCTTGGGTCCCCTCCACACCACTGCTTCATCGGGGTCCTCCAGCAGGAAGCCGATGGACATGAGGGCGAGGCTCTTATCTGCGCCTGTATAGACAGGCACCCATCCTGAATCACACTGGTGCACATCAGGCCTGCCCATATTCAGCATGCGGGGGATACTGGGCCCACACAGGTCAACATCCAGGATGCCTACCTGATGGACACAGTTTAATATCCAGTCAGTGTGCTCATTCCTTGATATTTTAAGAATGATGTATGTGCATTACAGCCACCCTGTATTCTGGTCTGAACTTTAAACTCACCTTCTTACCAGCATGCCTGAGAGCCAGAGCTAACTCTGTGGTGATGGTGCTCTTCCCCACGCCTCCTTTCCCGGACAAGATCAGGACGACATGCCGGACCTGATCCAAGCTCCCGTCTCATGTGAAAAGTAAAAACATGTTTTTATTTTAACGCCAGGACAGTAGATACACAACCAAATATTTCAAAGTTAACTGTCTACGTGACTAGGTTGTGCATTAGCAGGTGTGAAGTAACCCGAGTGAAGACGGGTCACAGAGAAATGTTTCATCATCCGAGTTCAACACAAGTAGGTCCCCCTCTGGACTTTCACGTTAGTAACTATAAACTAGCTCTCCGTAACTAATACGAGCATTGCAAACACCTCTCGGTATGTTTTGTGTGCTGACATAGCTGAATTTTAAAACTAAAGCTGCTTTATTAGCTTTCTCTAGACAGCTAGCTAAACTCTTGGTTGACACGCAGCCTTTTCTTACAGCTGCCTTCTCTAAAGAACGACAAATATTTTCATGTTCGGATTAACAAGCTTCACAAAGAGCGGTACACTAATGGTAAAACTTTTTAATAACTTCTTGTCCTACCATTATTTGGTTCCATACTTTAGATATGAGATTTCAATCATGCACGCTGCGCAGCTCAGTACTTCCGTGTATCGCCATGCGCCACCTAACCAATCACTGGGCGTGTTTTACATTTTAGTCCCGCCTTTAATCCAATCCCACCAATAGTTTACCGGCGCAAACCATGGCGCATGATTCAACTGCGTCACAGAGCTAAAAAAAACAAAAAAAAAAAACAACAAAAAAACAAGCATGATTCTGTTTTCGACACTTGAGGTTTAATTAATTGTAAACTTTGAGGAAAGGTACAGCATAATTCGTGAAAAAGAAAAGTTCCCCATATTAGCTAAAGTTCAGTAAATAAATGACATTAACCCCTCCCCCAATGTGACTCTTAACCAATAAGAATGAGATAGGGGCGTGGAGCTGTAATGTTTACGTCTAGCCTGTCAGAAGTGGGACAGAGTGCAAACTGCACCTGTCACACGGGCGGATTCAGAGGCACAGCAGCGTTTAATGAGCCACTGCAAGACTGTGTATAGAAAGACTACTGTAAGGTAAGAACATACACCGTTTTTCAAATGTAGGGATTTGTACTGGACTGTGGTTGACTGACTTTCCAGATAAAGTTAACGCAAAACAACAGTTATAGTGTTGAATGTAAATAAAGTATGATGAGTTTTAAACACTGAAATGATGCTCTTTGGTGACTAGCAGAGCTTATTAAAGACAGTCCATGTGCTCTGACTTGTGTCTAAACTTGTGTGGATCGCTAAGAAAAGACACTACTGTTGTGTTTGAATAGAAAGTCGTGTGTAAGACAGTCTGGGAATAGCTGACATCTAAGAAAACCATTGACGTCACTGTCTTTGCTCTAATATGACAGCATCCATATCATATCAGTCAAAATTATGGTTGGCAAAGGTACTGTAGTGCGTCTTCACTGGGTTGTCCAGATGATGCATTTACAGTATGTAGGGTAAAGACCAATTAAATTGAGACTAGCTCCAGACTAGCTAATCTAAATTAATGGCAGTTATCTCCTGCACCTGCTTGCAAAGTAGTCACCAGCTGCTGTGTTCAGAGGAGGCATTAACAGAGACATGCTATCAGGCTGACAGTGTTGACGAAGTAAAAACTTGTTGCAGTCATTTCTGGGTTATTAAAGAGTGAACTCATAATGATTGTTTGTAATGTAAAAAAAGAGAGAAGTTTCAGAAAAACAACCATACAGATAACTAAGAATAAAGCTTGTTTTGTTTTATTCTGTAAAAACATTTCACCAACAAAGATGGAGGACAAATTCCTAAAATGTTTTTGTTATTTTTATTGCATCAACTTCCCTGATTGTTGTTTTGTTTTTAGAAGAAACACACTTGTTCAGTGTTCATTTGTCACATTAAAATGTCTCCCATTGTAATAATGGTGTAAACTTTGACCCAGGATTTCCTTTAAAATTACAAATAAGTAGGTCATAAATGGAAAAAGGAAAAAAAAAAAGGTCTCACAAATCTATAGATTCACTTCACAGAAACACATCTTGTTTAAATTAAATTGCCAGATCCTCTTGTACAGTGTTACAGTCCATATAAGCAGCAGTAAGATGTTTGATTTATGATCAATACACAATGCAGTCAGCAGGTCATGTGACCTTATCTGTGTATGGGCTGATGCAGCTCACTGACAGACACGCTGCCACAGTGGCAGAGCAGAGGGATAGGTTTAAAGGTTAAACAAGTGCATGGAAACACTTCCTGCTGCCAACTGTGACATATGGGCTTGATGGAAAAAAGGCAGGATAGCACACAGGGCTCAGTCTTGATGTGTGTCGTTTCCTCACAAGGATTGTTTGCAACTTCACAATCAATGTGAGAGCTGGTGTAGAAGGGTGAGGTAGTTAAAAAATGTCTCCAGGTCACTGTTAATAACTGACCTACTTTCAGCCGCTCAAGTTTATGAGACATATGAGAAACATGCAAACATGCAAATACGTTTTAAAAAGTTGAGTCAGTCCCTGTTTGCTGTACAAATCAGCATCATTTCTCTACTAAACCCCTCTTTAATATGAAACATCATGTCATGCTCTCTTCCATCCTGAATCTCTTGTATCATCTGATATGCATCTGTTGAGTAAGAATATATAAGCTGGGAAATGTAGTTCACCACTGACCTTACTTGACCTACATTGGTGTGTGTGTGGTCTATGTGGCCCCTGCCAGCTGGTGGTAAGGTGTCAGGTCTGTTGTCCACAGAGCTGCCATGCTGAGGAGAGGCAGGAACGGGCGAGCTCGACACGTGGCCTTGACTGAAACACGGCACGAGACAGATGCCATGGCAGTGATCCAGACATCGGACAGGGAGGAGTGGGAGGGCCGGACGACTACACAGGTGAGATTTTATGAGGAGGCAGTAACATTTGAGAAAGAAAAGAGTCTGGAAAGTGAGAAATTTAGAATTCAAATATGTTTTTATTAGTAGGTTGCTCAATTTGACAATGTAATTTCAATTGTTTAAATATATACTCCTCCTGGGGACAATAAAGTATATGTAATCTAATATATACTTTAATTTTTTTGCATTTGATAAATTTAAAAACAAGAAAAATAGACACACTGCACAAATACACAATACTCCAAAAGGACATTTACAATCAATACCAGTAACCTTTTTTATCACGCACTTTTTAATTCTGAGTTACAATGTGTTCATTGTTCATTGTTCAAGAAGCAAAATAAAACCGACAGGTCATAAAATCATGATCATGAAAGAAACAATTAAGAAATAATTATTCAAAAGACTTAAAGTGAAATTAATTAAAGAGTTATAAAAGAAGGAAAATGAGGTTGGAAGAAATAAAAAGGAGGCCAAAATACCCCCCTGGGATTACTCAGGATGTGTGTGGGGGACACACACATCCTGAGTAAGGCTTTGTATTTGCTTATTAATATGATAATAATGAAGTTTTGGCTGCAGACTGAGACACTTAAGCATCTTTTCTTAGCTTGATATAAGAAGTGTTTAATATAAAGAACAGTTAAATGAACAAGAAGGATTTCTTCTGAGCACCAGTAGTTTTCCACTGGGACTGCCTCTTCTCTGAAAAGGCCATCATGGAGACCCGGTCAGGTCATCAAAGGCAGGGAAAGGGGGGCTTGTTATATTTGGAAGGGGTCTAATTTTACTTATGGGCACACATGTCATCTTTCACCAATAGGAAGCAGGAACAGCTTTCAGGGAAAAGGCATTCTTGTTCAGCCTGTGAAACATGACATACAGGTCAGATGGCTCTCACTTTGCTCCCAGTGAAATCCAAACAGGACAACCTTGCACTCCTTCAGTTTCTCTCCCTGCCGGCTCTTTACAAAATCACAGCTTCCCTAAAATCCTTAGGCTCTTCTCTTGTGCTCTGATCTAATTCCTTTTTCCCTCGTGCCGAGCCAACATCCCTGCCTGGACCATGGCCACATCTATGGACTTACCAGATGCTGTTTGCAATGTTTGTGTCACCCAGATCAGCGACCCGCAGGAGTCTGAGGTGGATTATCTGTCCAGTTCTCAGATGGAGTCTGAGGCGGTGGCCCTGCCCAGCACGGAGCCAGTGATAGGGGAGTCCTTCTGCCAGTGTGAGCGACAGGAAGAGTTCAGCCCGGGCTTTGGTGTCACCAGTGACTGCCTCTGTGGGGAGGAGGATCAGGGTGAGCAGAATACAGATACAGCATATGACTGATGGGACACTATAAGGACTTGTTTGTCGATAAATCCCACTTAAATTAACTTCTCTAAACAATAGCTACACACTCAGATATATTACTAACACAGTTTGTGTCTCCTCAGGTTTTGATTGGGTGTGGGATGAGCACTTTAAGTCTTCTGGAGCCTTCCTCAACTGTGACAGTAGGAAGGTGACCTTTCACTCCGACTACAGCTGCGGCACAGCGGCCATCCGTGGCACCAAGGAGCTCGCAGACGGCCAACACTTCTGGGAAGTGAAGATGACATCTCCTGTCTATGGAACTGACATGGTGGGTAGCAGAAGCTTTACTTCTTCAGATAACAAAGGCACCCGGGCTTATTTGGAAATCTCACTTTGGTTTTTATTGATGTTGAGGATCATCAACGACTGCTGTTGATGAACCTGGTTTGATCCTTTTTATTTGAATGTTTGATTGTGCAGATGGTGGGGATAGGGACCTCAGAGGTGAACTTGGAGAAGTTCAAGTACAGCTTTGGCAGCCTGCTGGGCCATGATGAGGATAGCTGGGGGCTCTCATACACAGGTCAGTAAAACAGGTTAAATGTACCACTGAGGCTTTCCACCACTGGTATGAAGAATGTTGAAAAGTGAAATATTGAGGTGCTTGTACTTCACTCGATTATTTTATTGTATTTAACTCCAAACTTCTTAATTTGACTTTGTGGATTTTTATAATTTATAAGTTTTTTTTTCTTTGACTTTTTTTAACTTTGAAAATAAAAACATTTTTTATATTAAACCATTGTGTCATTGTGTAAAATAAGCAGTGACTGGTCAAGACACATTTCTGAAGTTATTCTTTAACTGTTTCTAAAGGTTTCTTTAAATAGGGCAGTAAAGAGAAGACAACATAATCTTCTGCTGCACACATTAGTCCATTTTCTTTTTTTGTACAATTCTCAAATACATGCAATCCTGTCAGGTTTTTCATAGTTTTGCTCCATTTGCCCTCAAAACTGTTATTTAATAAATTCAATTCAATTAAATTCAATTAAATTTAACTTTATTTGTAAGGGACCATGTGCAATTAAAACATAAATGTAACCATTTGATGCATTGCACTAGAGTTAGCTTTGGGCTAATTTACATCTGCAGTCCCTTGAGACCCTTCAGATTCATCTTGTGACCCCTAAGATGGGGCAAAGCTCTACATTGGAACAACTGGATTAAAATACCTACAGTGTACATGAAGTTAATTAAAAGTTCATTTTTTACTGCTGATAAATCGTCCTTTTACTTTCACTTAGTAAGATTTTAGTTGGCACAACCTGTAGAAATGTATTTTGTAGTATTGCTACGTTTACATACTTCTTCCATGGATACTTTTTTTTTTACCATTACTCACCTATTTGGCATCTCTTTGTGTTTAAAGGTCACTTCCAGCACAAAGGGGACAAAGTGAAGTTCTCCACTCGGTTTGGTCAGGGCTCCATCATCGGAGTTCACCTAGACACCTGGCACGGCACTCTGACCTTTTACAAGAACCGATACTGCATAGGTGTGTTTCTCTGTAATACTAACAGATCTTATTCATCAGCAGCATCTTTATCTCCCCTCAGGCGATCTCACTGTACCACCTTTCTGCTCCAACAGGTGTCGCTGCCACGCGCCTGCAGAACAAGAAGTTCTTCCCCATGGTTTGCTCCACAGCAGCTAAGAGCAGTATGAAGGTGATCCGTGCCTGCTACACACCCACCTCCCTGCAGTACCTCTGCTGTGCCCAGCTCCGCCAAGTGCTGCCCTCCTGCCCAGACGTACTGAATGCTGTGGAGCTCCCCCCCGGCCTGCGGACCCTCCTCCACACACAGCTCGGCTGGGTCTTCACCCTCAGCAGCAGCAGCCCGGAGCCTGACTTACCAGAACACCTGGACTTGAATGAGGTCTTCACGGAGGAGATTTGTCGGCCTTCCAGCCCTGTCCCGAGTCCAGTTTGCACCCTGAGTGCCTGCGCCTCCCCAAGCCCCTGCAACAGTCCACTTCCTGACTCTGTCCCCTACCCGTGCCCATGTCAGACGTCACTGCAGACTCAACCCTGCACATGCCACTGCCCTCCCACTCCCCCCAGCAGTGACTACGACAGCTGCTGCTCCGAGCCAGAGGATTACCAGTGCAAAAGATGCCGCTGGACATGACTCCGCTGTAAAAACTTTTAGGTTTTAATTTCATGGCATTCAAACAATGAACGGGCGAAATAAGAAACTATAAAGGCAGTGAGACATTCAAGGGAATTGGGATACCAGGGTTCTCATTTTATCCAACATCTATACGCGGGTCAATGAGAACCATTTGTACTGCACCTTTTCATTTTTTATTTATGCCAACCTAAGAGCATTTCAGGTAAAACTGTTCAGAAGGATAGAGTCCAGACAGGACAGGAACTGCTTTTTTGATACAGAAGAAATGACTTTTTGTACAGTTAACATGTTGTATTATCAGCGTCTGGCTCAAATACCAAAAGTTGTTTGGTAACCTTGCCGACAAGATGATTTGTTTTTCTATATGCAGTTTGTAATGAACTTTCTTACTCAGGAAATTCTGTAAAATAAAACCAAAATGAGAATTTCTGTTGCAGCTCATTTTTATAGGACATTTCAAATAAACAAAAGTTATGAATAGGGGCATCTAAGAATTTATCTCACATTGATACATAAACAGAGCACTGTATCAGAACAATACATCATATACTGTACATCCTTTGTGATCAGATTTCACTCCATGAGTTAGAACATGTGTATAGAAAGTGCTTTTGGTAAACATCTAGGGCTCATTATTAGACATCAACATATTAGCAGCTCAGTAGTTACATCCATTCATGTTGACATGTTAGTCCAGGACCAGCTGGGGGTTGGTGGCTGTGATGCAGCGGTAAACTCTGGCAGAAATGTCCGGTCCTACACGTCTCTCTTTACCTCCACTGTTCACTAACACACCGGCCAGCAGTCCTTTTCTGTCCGCCTCCAACTCCAAGCTCTGGTATGCCTAAAAATCATGACATATTTTATTTAACAATGTTTTCTACTTAATGTATGTCTTTTTCTGATTTTATGAATTCACTTTTAATTTGATTAATCTCAAACATTTCCAACATTTAATTTCTCTTCATCAAGCAAAAGACAAAACAAGTTTGCTTTTATATCTCATTTTCAAAGAATCATTTTGGATAAGTTGTTATGCATGTAACTGTGTCTTGCTTTGAGAGTGAATGGTTTAATAGGACTTAAGGCCACTCCCCCTGCCTCTCCTCATGCGTACCTGCAGAAGCAGCTGCGGTGACGGATATGCTGCTGTCACGGCTGAAGCCACAGCAGGACTAACTCTGTTAAGCTGTTGGATCTGTTTGCACCAGACCTGCGTCAGCCCCAAGCCGTCTCTCTCTACCCGCACCCCGCTGGCCCAGGAACCGTCCACACAGAAGGGCAGCTCTGCTTGCTCGCTCAGCAGTCTGACAAAATGAAGATAAGTCTACTTATTATCAATGAACAACTAGTGATCATGGATGTTTAATGCCTGATAGAAAGTTTGAAGTCTTTAATGTGACAATGACTTTGATGGCTGCGTACTTGAAAGGGCGTTTGGATAAGGCCTTGGTGACAGCATATACATGGTCAGTGACCTCCTGCCAGCCATCCAGGAACACCACTGAGATATTTTTGTAGAGCTCTAGGTAAACAAGAACCTGGAGAGGAATGGAAAAATAACATATGAAACCCCTCATCTTGTAGATCTGATTAGCTTTAGCCATGAAAGGTATAAAAAAAGATGGACGACACGACAGCTCTCCAAAAGTGAAGCCAAAACATTAAGCACTCCTCGTGCAGACCTAATGTTGACACAAGAAAAATGGGTCAAACTAAATTTTAAATACTTATGGAAACAGAGGTCTCACAAATGATTTTGTCTCATTATAGTTAGTTATTATCAAGCTGATTTATCACCAACTGTTCATTTTTCAGAACTTTAGTTACTTGGTGGTGAAAAGAGCGGATGTAACATTATGATTGAAGCTCCGTTGTCAATGCCGCTCCTGTGGGGATCTTTACCGGATTAGCAGAGTAGAGGAAACTAAACAAACTGAACTGAAAACCAACATAAGAGTCAGTTCTGTTGTGGACTGTACCAATCTGAGGCAGTGAAATGTGTGCTTTGATTAGCAGAAGGTGCAGGATGTCCATACATTAGCAGAATCTTTGTTGCACAACACAGGCTTCAAATGACATCACCAGCGGAACTTGTCAGCGCCTGTTGCAAGGGGTATTTGGCTTCACTTTTAAACAACAGGAGTGGGTGAAAACCTGTTGTCCATGTTTATATTCATTTCATTTCATTTCACTTGTTTATTTCTTTCGCACATGCCAAAACACAACGTTCACAGAAAACGATTCACAACTTTTTATCCCAATCCATGTTTGGAAAGGAGCAGGGAAAATAATAAATCTTATTTTGCCTGCTCCTCACTCAAAAAGAAAACAAGAAATATCTAGATGGTCTGTCCAATTACAATCGCTTGGCAACCATGACCCAGCAACATAAAAAAATCTGACAATTCAGAGTCTTTGACTTCACTTCCACATAAATAGGGAGGAAAACAAACACAACTAAAACACTAACTGCCAATTTCACAGTCTAATAACTGAAATATATTCACACAGCTCTTCAAGTCATTACATACAGACATGGTTTAAGCAGCCCAGCTCAAGTACTATAAAGAGTTAATTATGTGCAATATTTAAAAAATGTTAACTTTCAACCTTCAGAAAAATCGTTGGATAGTAAAACATTGGAAAAAGAACACTTTAGATCAACCAGCTGCAGAGTTACAGTCATAGTCCATTGTAATATCTTCTTATACTGTATTATTTAAGTTGTTGCTAGTTCTGCTTTATTTCCTTGTTAATTGTTTAGCACCAATACACCAAGTCAAATTTCTTGTATGTGTAAATGTACTTGGCAATAAACCCCGATTCTGGTTCTGATTCTGAACTGACCTCCTCTATGTCCACATTCTCCATCCCAAATTTGGATTGGAGGGTCTCGTCTAATAAACGCACATCACAAGCATTTGTCCTGTTGGCAATAATAACACGTGTGTTAACACCATAGGTAATGAAAGCTGGAACATAAGAAAGTAATCATTCTGTTATCTATGGATCATACACTCACCTGTAGTCTGTCACTAAGAGAGTGACCACCTTCTTAGCATCACTGTTGAGACACTCCAAAAGAAGACTGAGGATGGACCCTGTCCCTATCTCCTCCTCTTCACTATCAAGTACCTGGAGCTGTAACAAAGGAATATGAAGGAGTGCTTAGAATGCAGCATGGATGTAACTAAGACCACCAGAGACATTCATGTGAGCGTGCAACAAGCATAATTATTAACAATTTAAGAGGTTGCTTACTTTCTTCACGGAGATCACCATGTCCATAAACTCAGTCATATTCAGCACCAGAGTCACCTGCTCCTCCTCTAAAAAGCCTACTCTGCCATCTCCTCTCTAGGTTAGGCAAGGCAAGTTTATTTATATAGCACATTTCAACAACAAGGCAATTCAGAGTGCTTCACACAAGACATGAAAAGCATCATGACAGAGGAAAGAAACAAACATACATGCAGATGAGTACGTGTGCATTTAATATTTTCACCTAGTCAAAGCTACAGGATTGCAGAAGTGAAACACAGTATTTATGTTACATTAAGTCCCTACCTGGGGTAAGTCCCTCGTCCAGGTGATGCTGTGTGGAAGCTGTTTGCTCTCAATGTTGAACCTCCATTCAAATGTAACCAGGGTGTCGAGCAAGAAGTCTGAGCCATCCTGCTGCAGAAGAGCTGGAGAAGAAAAGCCCTAAACTCTTTACAGATTTACAATATGAACAATTCTGGTTTGTTAAGAAAAATGAAGCTACTACCCGAGTACTTCTGTTGGCTGATGGACGTAAGGAAGTGTGTGGTAAGCATAAAATAAATTTAACTAGACTTTTTATTGATTTATCATCCAGTAGCTAGAAAAATGTCACCAGATGTGTTACAACCTCTGGATCTGCATGTTTATTAAATTATTTGTTGCTATGTTTAAGGAAACCAAGAAGTCCTCATCCTAAAAATAGTTTGTTTAAATACAATTTATTTAGTAAACTTACAAAAATAAATGTTGAAAACCTAAATGATGAAACTCATTTTATGCAATACAGTTAATAAGCACTGTGAACCAACTTCTTTACAGCAAGTTGTTTGTACTTATTTGTCTGCAGCTTGTATGGCACCACAGCATACAAAAATATATAAACAAACAAGCTGTGTTAACATGTCTTAAAATCAAACTTCTCCAGATGTTATATATTACGGGGTTCCAAATGTGCAAACAAAGGGATGTGTGTGTTTAACTGTCCTTTAAAGGTACATTTAGTGTTACAGACCCTAGTTTCGGTGTGTCTTTTGCTCACATGACCACACATTTGTCAGTGTCTTTTGCTCACCTGGTGATTAATTTGTCCATCAATTCTGCTACAAACGTTTGTAGTTTTGTTGTACTCCCTGTTATGTGTCCTCTGACAGCCTCCTTGTTGTTCTGATGAGTTGTCTGAATGTGTCGTTCTGATGTGAATCATTATACACTTTTCTTTTTTTATTTTAACGTATTATGCCAAAGAAATGTCAATAAATCCCTGACTTTGGACAAGCTTTCCCTGTACACCTCCTGGAATTATATTTTCCGACAGCATGAGAAGGCAGCACGGTCAGTCTGTGTACCTGGATCTATGCAGACAGTCAAACACTTCAGGCAGTTCTCCGGCCGCAGACTCTTTAGGTTCTCTGCCGCCTCTCTCCTTCTCTGCTGCTCCTGTCTCTTCTCCTCCTTCTCCCGGGCTCTGGCTGTTCTCCGCTTCTCCCTCTCCTCCCTCCGCTCCCTGGCTCTGGCTGTTCTCTGCTGTTCTCTCTCCTCCCTCCGCTCCCAGGTTCTCTCTCTCTCCGCCTCTACCTCCCCCTTGGTGCGGCATTTTCTTGCAGGACTCGGTTTTAGTAAATCTGTTCGCGGTGGAGACAGTGAAGAACTTTTAACTGACTCACTTGTGTTGTCTGCAGGTAGTTGGGTGATTTTGCAGGAATGGTCTGAAGTCTGATTCTTTATGGACACTTTGCTGCTGACTGTTGCTGCATGTCTGCTTTCCTCCTGGTTTAACTCGGTTTTCGTTTCAGTGTCGCTTTCCTCAGATTCAGATATTTCCCATGTTTTAGCTCTGCGCAGAACAGACATTTCATATGTTTAAGACATATTCAAAAGCCTCCCAAACACCTTTGCGTACACCACATTCTTCTTCCTAATTGAAATCCGTCTCAACTCGACGGTGTCCGCTGAGGGACAAAACAGTAAACCGCGCTTTATAATATAATTAATATAATATAATATAATATGATATGATATTATATGATATGATATGATATGAAATGATATGATATGATATGATATGATATGATATAATATAATTAAATATAATATAATATGATATAATGTGGTGATTTTATACTTCGCTCACGTTGATGTAATTCACTTGCAGCTTTATGGTAAATACTTTAAAATGTATTTTTAAAATTTAGAATATAACTATTCTATTCTATTAATCTTATAACCTATATTGTTGCTTCGGCTTCTAGTTTTTCCTTATTCATAACTGTAGAAAATACTTTAAATGGAAAACTGAAACTGCTCAATAAAGTTTTTGGGAATAACAAATAAAAAAACCCACTGAATCCAGCGGAACGTTTGTTGTCTGCGCAGATTTCCAAACGATCTGCTGCGTCCCTGCAGAGCTGCAAGTCTTTTTAGGGTTAGTAAAGCTGTGGCCGGCGGACCGCAGCAGGAGAATCGTAGCAGCAGACTGCTAACCTGTTTCACCAGCTTTCCATGTAAACAACTCTGAAATGATGTGATTAGAACGTTTTTGTTTTGTAGTCGCTGTGCTTTTTTTCTTACCATGACGCAGCCAGCAGAGAAAGGTACGTCTGAATATATTTTTTTATTTGACCGAAGTTGCTCAAATCATTGTATTGTGAACATCCAGACCCCTGTCTCACAACCCTCCGGATACGTCCCTAAAAAACTGACCGGGCCACAGAACCACCCACTCAGCTCTTTACACTTCAAGTCTCTTGAAAAAGCTCATGTGAATAACTAGGAAGTTGCCTAATGGTTTGTTATTTCATTAATGTCTTATTCGCTGTTTAATTTAGCCTACTAACACACTAAGCTAACTCAGCTAACTCTCACAACAACAGATTGTTTTCCTCTGGAGGCCAACATGAAGGTCTTCAATGGGCCGAGTTAAACTATAGATACTTCAAGACCAAACAGGTTGTTTTAAGGTTGTTGTTTTTTTCTCAGTGTGAGAATTTAGTAAGTAGGCTACATCTGTTGAGGTACTGCACTTTCGTATTTCCACTCAGTACAACTTTATACTTGTTTGGTATTCAAATATTTATTTGGCACCATGAGGTATTGGGTAAATATGAGATTCAGATGATTACTATGAAATAAATCAATTACAGTCAGTATAATTCACATGATAATATCCTGTCTGTATTATGAGTACTTGTTAAGTTTGGCAGTAAATCGTAATGCTCACTAGTTTAAGTATGAAGGGCATTTATTTGCTTCTTTCAATGATGTAAGTTTAAAGTGAGACTGTACAAACCAGAGTGTTTTATATATGAACACATGCTTTTCAGTATGTTTAGAATGAACATTGTAATCAATGGCTCTTGTGGGTGTCAATGCCCAAACCACTCAATGGTATCAGCTTGCCAACGCTCAACTTTTTTAAATACTGATTTGTTTGTTGACTCTGATTAATCTCCTTCTGTTGTTTGTTTGTGAATATATCTGCATTATCTGGGTGGACTGTGGAACAGAATTGCCCTCTGTGTTGAGGAAATGACTAAGACTTGACTTCACACAATAAGACTCAGTTGACTCAGATGGCTTACGTTGATGAAAGTTTATACATAAGAAGAATACTCATGAGGAGACATGATTCAACATCACACTTCTGTACTCGTGTCTTGCTCAATCACATCTGCAGAACTCTTCAAAAGGCATCGCATATATCCTAGAAGACATTATCATTATCAGGGTCGTGTCACATTGACCCACCTAGACTAATCTGTGACATCAAGTAGACAATAAGTCTACCAAACATCAGATATCAGGAAGAACAGTTGACACTCTCTAAGATGTACTTGGTGTTCTAATCACAACTGAACTCTGTCAGGTCTGACTGACAATAGAGAACAATAAATAAACATAACGACGTCTGTACATTAGAATCTAAATAATTACAGAGATTCCACCACACTCTGGGATAAATGAAGTTGTTTTAAGTGATAAATGCAACAATAAAGTATAAACTTTCATGCTGATTTTCTATGTATAAAAAAACAGAGGTGTTGGTTTTTCTACCTGTCTTTGAAATTGCCAGGAAGGACTCATTCTTCACTCTTTTTGTTATTCTACAGCGTATTATCGCTTTGTGGTGCTGTTCTTCAACTGTCTTCTGACATTTGGCTCCTACTTCTGCTTTGACATCCCCAGTGTTTTGCAGGATCAGTTCCAAGGGGTAAGAAAGTCTGAGGTCGCAGGGCAGACCAGCTTATAGATGATGATATCTCCACATACCACGATGATATCAAATGACTTTAATCTCTTTACTGGCTTTCTCTCGTCTGACAGAACCTGACATGTCCCAATTCCACCGTGATCAATGGGACAGTGGACTGTGTGGAGGGACTGGGGATGAGTCCTCAGCAGTATAATCTGCTTTATGCAATATATGCTTGGACGTAAGTAAACACACACACACGGCTTGTGCTGTAACATACTGAACGTAGAAAAGCTTGACTTTGTGTTTTTCTGTCCTATCTACAGGAATGCAGTCGTGGTTGTCCTTGCTGGTTTCCTGATTGACAAATTAGGAAATCGCTGTGAGTTTAAATGAAGTGTATCTGCAAATCTTTCAATCAAACAACAACAGAACAACTGCCTTCTGTAAAGTAGCTCTGTGTGAATTGATTCTCCTTGCATCCTCTCTGCAGTCGGAGTGTTTCTCTTCTCCTTCCTGTGCGTTCTGGGCTCGTCGCTGTTTGCACTGGGCTCTCACTTTAAAGGAACTCCCTACCTGCTGCCGCTCATGCTCACAGGCCGATTACTGTTTGGATCGGGCAACGGATCTTTGACCAGTAAGGCCTCTTTACAGGAAGTCACATGCTTGTGCAGTGTCAGCTCAGAGAAAGCTTCCTAAACCGCTCTCTCCTCTACTTTTTTTGATCAGTTGTTCAGAACCGCATCACAGCCTTCTGGTTCAAAGGGAAGGAGCTGGCCTTGGCATTCGGTGTGACCCTGGCATTCTCTCGCCTGGGGTCGGTCCTGAACTTCTTCTTCACCCAGAAGTTTGAGGAAAAATATGGCATGCAGTGGACCCTCTGGGGTGGTATGTAACGAGGGGATGGAAACCTCAAACTGTAAAGCATGACAGTAGAACGTATACAAGAAGTGGACGTCGCTTCTTGGTTTCAAAGTGAAGCCAATGTGGAGGTGCCTTGAAACTGTTTTTTTCTAATGACCAACAGGGACTCTACTTCTCAGCTGATTTATTACCTCAGACAAACACAAGTCTTCAAAGGAGCCGCCGATGACGCAATAATCGTCATTTTGCATCATCGGCAGCTTCTGTGGTTAGCGGGGTGAAACTGTAACGCTAGTTACTCATGTTTTCGTCCACTGAAGCTACAGACCAATCACAGATCAGTGGGTGGGACCTCACGCCCAGAATCAAAACTTAACGTCGGCCATATTGCTTGGTAGCTTGGTATGTGTTGTAGTAAATGTCTGTAACTAGAGGACCCTAGCTTCAGTGGGAGTGGCCTGTGGTGCTGTGCATTCTGGGAGTTGTTGTCTTTCATCCACATGAGCCAAAAAGACACTTTCTGCCTTTTCTCGGCCAAGAAGGCACCAACTTCAAAAGTTATTTCACATTTCTACTACATATATGACCCAATGTCAATACAGATTCATGTTTCAACAGGTGAAGTATCCCTTTAAGGACGTACCTCTTTAAACCAGGATAAAGTCATACCAGTGCAAATCCACCCTGTTGTTGAAACATGGTCATTTCTAGTTCCAGAAAACCAAGATGTTGACGGCCTAAAGCTGCCCCCAAGGCTTCAAAAGAGGCTTTTATATAAATGTCTGACTTTAGGGTGGCTACATCCATTTCTGTATTCAGGGTGTGAACGTAACATTTTCCCTTCTGCTTAATGTCACTTGATGCTTTGTTTCCTAGGTGCTATATTATGTGTGCTTGGCTTCGCATCCGCCATTCTCGTCAGCACGATGGACAAGATCGGAATGAAACAGCTTGGTCTTGATGGAGCCATTCAAGAGGAGTCCCGCAAAGTGGTACGAACACGATCTGACCTCCTTTTTTAAAAATAACATTTGATGAACTTCTTGATTTGTTTGTGTCCTGCAGTGTGAAGACTAAATGATTGTGTTTATTTAGAGAATTCAGGATGTGAAGCTCCTCTCGCTGAGATACTGGCTGCTGGTTCTCACCATCATGTTCTTCTACAATGGCATCTTCCCGTTCATCGCAGACGCCAGGTAGAGCCACTTAGACCATTCAAAACTGGATTTATCCCAGAGGGCAATTTGGTTCCACAGTCTACCCAATACATGCAGACATTTACAAACATCAGGCGGAGTACGTCAGAGACTACAAACAAATCAGTCCTTGATAAAGATGAGCGCTGGTATTCTGACACCCTCGTGTGGTCTCCTTGGGCAATGACACCCACAGTTTATGGACAACAGTGATAGATAAATAAGTAAATAAATACATAACCAAGACATTCTAGGATGCACTGCAATCACAATGAGGACTACATAAAAGGAATGTATGTACAGGCCCCTGTTGCAGGAGTCAGGAATAAACCACTGTATGGTTCAACATAAGAACAAGGGACCCGATAGAGATAATATTAAATCAGTGTTCCTAGGAAGCTAAGTGATCATTTATTGCCTTTAAATACTATAAAATGTTATAATTAATGTCTTGTATTTAGTTTTCTTCTGTGCACGTTGATTTGCATTGTGTCTTAAATGTGCTGCGTAACTTTACCTGCCCCTTCAAGACTATGTATAACTTCAGGACTGTGTTATTATGACCCAAGCACACTAACAAGAGTCCTTTTTGTCCGCTGTTTGTTCATTGTCCAGTAAGTTCATTCAGGATAAGTACAGTGGCTACAGTCAGAAGGAGGCGGCATACATCGCCGGGGCGGTGTACGACAGCTCACTGATCCTCTCGGCCAGCGTGGGCATTCTCATAGTAAGTATCTGGAACCTGGATATCTTATCTGTTGACTTACTTGTTCCACAATCTGTCGTCAAAAGTGTTAGACAACAAGTAACCATGTTGTGTTTTGTTGTCTACTTTGATGTTTTAGATGTTATCCATTCCACTGCACTATTTGAATTTCTCCCTCTACTTCTTTGTTTCAGGATTTTGTGGGTCTGAGGGGCATATTTGCTCTGGCCTGTGCCGTCCTCACACTGCCCGTGTTCGGGCTCCTCGCCTTCACATTTGTACCGCCTCTCGTCTCCACCATATGGCTCGGAATCACCTACTCTTTTGCAGCAGTATGTTTACTACCCCCCAAAAAGTGTCCAAAAATAAGTTTGTTATCGTGTTTAGAAAAGCGTGTTCCTTTAATTAATCCCACTGTGTCGCCTCCCAGGCGAGCATGTGGCCGTCCATCCCCCTCGTGGTTCCTCAGGCAACTCTGGGGACGGCCATGGGTATGGCCACCTCCATACAGATGATTGGGATCGGGGTGTCAAATCTGGTGGTCGGGCAGATTTTGGGCACCAAGTCCAGGTAGGAAGTAGTTCAGATGAGGAAGTTGTTGCAGACAGAATATGTCATGTGTTTGAACTCTCTGTTTGCTCCTGTCCAGTGAAACCAAGATTCCATTGTGGCGTTGGCAGAGGATGATGATCTTTATGTTAGCCAACACGGTCAGCTGCATCGTCACTTCAGTGCTGCTTAATGTTGTCGACCGCAGACAGGTCAGAAATCTTACACACTGCTCCTTTATTTACTACAACAAAAATCGGAATCCACTTTTTTTTTTTGCGTAATAAAGAGAATTTGTCTCGGAGTTTTGGTGCAAAACAGTGGACATAAAAACAGGAAACACGTAAACAGATGTCTGCTACCATCTAGAAACTGAAATAGAAGTTAAACAAAGAACAAAAATGTAAAACATATATGATACAAGTATGTAGAAGAAGCATGTGTCATTTGAAAAGGCATTCTCTTTGTGTCTGTTGTTTGCTGAATTTAGCAGTGTGTTGAGTTAGTCTGATTTTTCCTCTCCAGGGCGGGACCCTGAACAAGACGACCAAGAGGTCAGAGGCAGCAGAGAGAGACTCGGACAGAGAGCCGCTCAACCAGGCGGAGGAGGAGGAGGAGGAAGATGAGGAGGAAGAGGAGGCGGTCAGATCTCATTCTATCAACTCCTGAGCTTTTCCTCAAGTTTCAACAGTTTTCTCTTTCTCTTGATATATTTTTGTATGTACTAGTTTTTTTTTTTGATCATGGACTTGATGAATTACCTCATCTTACTACAGTGTATGATAGAGCAGTGCATTGAATCAGAATGATTCATGGTTATTAATAGTCAACCAGGTCAGGGCTCGACATTATTACTGGCCTGGATGAATGATTGACAGAGTCCGGCCCAGCTGATTGCACGTTCAGCTGACCAGCTCGGGTCAGTTCAAATACTGCCTGAAAAAAAAAATAAACAGTAACACGTTCTCAATTTCACAGCGCTATCCCGTCATACCGGTGTTTTGTCAGTAATTATTTTTAAACGTCGTTGTTAGGTGGGGGTTGTTTTTGTTTGTATAAATCCAATGAAGAAATCATGAAACAGACTGGAGATTATAACACCATTTAATCGGCCGAGGTCAGACAACTTCATCAAACAAGCATGCTTCCAAATCACTTGACTGACAAAGTGCTGACAAAGTAACAGTGTTCACAGTGCTGCTTATATTCTGTCAAATAGGTGCAACACACAAATTCCTTTATATTTGGGTGCATCACCATAAACAATGAAGATGACATGACACTGATTTGTATACGTAACAGATGTAGACTCTCTGTCTAGCAAACAGTTGCTGACAACATATAGTTGGCTCCTATCCAAACATAGATCTGCTACTAAATAGGTGCTTCACCCATATAAGGTTACAGCTTCAGACACCTAAAGGTAGGAGTGTTAACAGGTGGTAGACAGACTTGAATAATACATTTCACGAAGTTACCAAGATGAATGAATTTCATGAAAATTCGTACTAACAGTCGTGCTAATAACTGCTACAGCATCAACGTATCATAAGCGCTTGTGCGTGCGCATGTGTGTCACAGTTGAAAGGCAGCCGAGGTTTCACTGCTGTCACTCCTGCTCGCTACTCTCGAATTGAACACTGGCACACAGATTTTATCGCAGGTTTTCTCTGATAAAAAAACATGTTTTAAAACCATCATATCCCGACAAAAGCAGAGCTAAAAGCAGAGCTAAAATCAGCATTCAAAGGAAAAAAATCACCGGAAGAATAAAGAGTGACAGCAGGGCATGACGGAAACAGAAGGGAGAAAAGTTTGAGCCACAGTGACAGACAGCTGGAGGAGCTGGAACACATTAAAGTTAAAGACTAGATCCTGGTAAAGATAAAAGTTATTTACAAATCATCTTAGCCCTTAAGAGAGCTCCTAAAGTAAAGATCTAAGAATTAAGAGTTTCTCACAGAGAAAGAAGAAGGAGAGATTCCAGATCGATCACAGCCTCATAATAATATCAGATTAAATAGACTCTTACAGTTACCAGCATGGTGAATAAACATGAGCACATAAATATAAGAAAAATACAAAATATTTTTATAATTAGAGTTCAATTAATTAAATAAAAGTTGTAATTGACTTTTGCATCAGAATGGTTCAAGAGTAAATTGGTGACTGTTATTTTTCGAATCAAAAGTAATGTTCCTGGGCCAGCGGTTACTGCTACATATATTCACTTTTTGAAGTATTACACAAGACAGACAGTAGTGACAGAAACATGGCATCAGAACATAGACAGCCAAAAATAAATCTTTTTATGTCATGTAAAGAAAATGTCACAAATATGTCAGGTCTGTGTGAATATACTGTAATTGTCTTTTATGGTTCTAACCCAACACAGTGAATTATTTGTATGTTTTGTCTTTGTGTTTTTGGATATCTCTTCTTGTTTTGAAAAAAGGGATTTTTGATCTATTTCATATCACAGAAAAGCAAAAATAAAATCTTATTACCTGTTTCCATATGTGATTTTGCGTTACATGTATGTCCTGAACAATATTAGACACCAACAAGTTTGTCATAGTCTGTCTCTTTGCTACGGTAATCACATTCACACAGTAGCATCATGAATCCACATTTCTAACACTTTCTGATCCAAAGAGGGAACTTTGGGCAGACCTAATTAAATAGTTTCACAGAAACAGTGTTTAAATGTAACAGTGTAGCCCTGGTTAATAAACCCTGCAGACCATTATCATCCCTGAGTTGCAGCTCTGCATAACATTGAGGAGCTTGACAATGATATATCTCTCCTCCCAACATATTCCTGTCTCTCTTCTGCTGTCTAATCTAATAAAAGCCCCAAAAATAACTTACAAAAATGGACATAACAAAAAGGGACGATATTAACACAACTACTTTACAATATATATGGTTATAAAATAACGATATAAATTCAAAGAACCAGAATCATTTTTTACTGAATACTCAGCTCAGCGTTTGTACCACATTATAACCACTAGGTAGAGCTCTTTCCACATTTGCTTTCAATGACCAGAGAAACTTCAGTTTATATAGTCAGTGTGTCATTGTTTGTTTTTCTCCGTGGATTTTACTATAACCTCGCTCTGGGTCTTCAGCTATTTTTTCTAATATGCACTTTTATATTTGATTTACTTGGAATCCCTGTAACAAGATATTTGTCTATATATTTGAAACCTTTGTCTCAGTCATTTAGAGTATTTTAAGGGGAGGTAGTCATGACAACCGCACTTCAGGTCACATCCATCATACTGTCATCGACTGAAAGAATGTAGACTACATTTAAAGAGCTGCAGCAACATTTCATTTGTGCTTGAATAGTGAATGGACATGTTTGTTTTTCTTCATGGATAAAGTTGGTCACGTGGTAGATCTTTAACGTTTTTTTTACCCAATCGGAATAGGTTTAGGCAGTGATATCCCCAAAAGAAAAAAATCTGAGTTTGTAAAAGGATCTAGGTTTACTTGTCTACCCTTAAATAAACTTGAGTCCTCAAATACTCAGGTGAGATTACTATAAAGACTCAGACACAGGGTGCCAGTGTCCTGACTCTGTGCTAGGTTAGAAGTGGAGAGTCTCCTGCTCTAAAGACAAGAAGGAAAAGACTGTGGATCAGGCTGAATGTTACAGCAGATTACTGAGACTGCTTATGAAAGACTCCTCAAATGAATAATTGTGTGTCCAGCTGTTCTTTGTATTTAAACCATAATCCAAACAAAGATTATACAGAACATGCTCAGCCTTTACAGACACGGTGGTAATTTATGTTAGATTAAGATAATATGATTTTATGATACGATACCGGCTCCACTTTATAATCTGGATTAGAAGGATGTATTCTTCTTCTGCGGCGCAAAGGTCAAAGTCAGAGGAACGGAGGGAAGGTCAACTGATTAAGAGTCTCTCATCTTCTGTTTACCACGCAGATACAACCTAAAAATATACCTTTCTTAATCTTCTTAAGGGGGTGTTTGGTAGGAGTTAGTCTTTGACTGCCCGGTGGACACACACACACACACACACACACACACACACACACACACACAAACCCACGCTGAGTCAGTCACAGAGTCTTAGAGGACAACTTAATACCTGACACTCAGCAAGCGGCTTTTATTTTCTTGACATTTGCTTTATGGTTTCTCACTTAGAGTCCATCTGCAGCCTCAACTGTTTGGCTGACGGCCTGGACAGCATGAGCATGTCAGGCCTCCTCAACCTCAGCGGCCTGGGCCGGATCTGCGGCTCCAGCAACGACATGGTGGTGCTGGACCGGGTCAAGAGGAAGAACTCTGTGAGGAGGATGTCGATCATTGAAGATGGTGAAATAGCCGAGGTCCTCTATCTGATTCCCAAACAGTCCATGATGGAGCAGCTGCCTTTCCTCAACCCCAATGACTACATCGTGTGTGAGAAGCTGGCTTCTTCCACTGCAGACATGTTAGACAGTGAGTATTAACTTTATCCCTCCATGGCTGATGTGTTTTAGGTGATCGGTTGTAGTGTTAGTAGCTTTTCACAATGCTCTATCTGTTGTGTATATAAGTAAAAAACATGGATCTTTAACGGGGGAAATGCTGAGTAGATTGAACGTTTTCTTCAAATTCGTCAACACAGTTTATCAGTTCTAGTAATTACTGAAGGTTGTTGGTCAAACAGACAATACAAAAATACATTTCTGCCCTGTCATGTAAGAACTAGACAACTTTGCAAAAAAGCTAACACATCTAAACTTCAGAATCAGAATCCGAATCAGATTTATTGTCCAGGTATGCTTACACACACAAGTAATTTAACTTAGGTGAAGTGTGCTCTCTTATGTACAGGTACAACATTAAATATCAACAATAAACACAATCAGAAAAGACTAATATTTACATGACTAAATATGAAACAGTGCAGTGGTGAATAGTGCAAAAGATGCTGAAGTAACATGACAAGTAACATGCAGTTATGTGACGGTGTCTGTGTCAGCAGTCTGTGAACGGATTGCAGCCAAATTGAAATATTCTCTTGTTCAGCATGATTGAGGGCATGGTTCAGAAACACGAGGGTAACAAATGCCACTCCCACTGTCCTCTTTGAGAACACACACACACACACACACACACACACACACACACACACACACACACACACACACACACACACACACACACACACACACACACACACACACACACGCTCTGGCCCTCTAGCTGTGTTTTGGACAGCCCTCTTTTCTCCTGGACCAGCCGTCCAGTGAGTTCCTCTCCTCACTCCCTCGTGCTGCAGAGAGCGCCGACAGACGAGCAGAGAGCAGCTGTCATGAAAGAGAAAGGTAGATGTTTTTTTAAATGCCTGTTAGACACATGGGTGTGCATGTTTGTTGTTGAGGCTGAAAAAGTTAGTGTCTGTTTGTTCTCACACTGTTTTCTGTTTGCCTTACATATGTGTGATTAACCAGTCAGTCCTCTGAACATGTTTACCTGAGAGCTACACTGATGGGACATTTGTCAATTAGCATTTCTTGGGAAAACTTGAGCCTTGTCTGTCTCTGATGAGAATGAAATTTTCAACATGTCTTATTTCTGATCTGTTAAGACTTTAAATGTTTCCTAAACTAGACACTAAATCAAGAGTTAAAAACTTTGGCTGCCAAGTGGGTAAAAGTGTGAGCACAGCTGCTGTCAGGGCTAATGGTACATCATCATGTGATCTCAACAATACTAGAGAAAGTCAACAGTGTTTCAGCTTGATTATACTGTTAGGTAGCAACAGGGATAACAAGACCTGTGATTGTGGTTCTTTACTTAGTCAGACTGAAGGTATTCAGTTATTCAGTCACCTGTGCAGCAGTAATAAGTGACATCACGCTGTCGGGACAAAATATAACTTATTAATGATCACTGAAACGGCTTCATCTTTACTTAATAAAAGAAGTTTAATAGAAACTTTAAACTCCATTTTATAATTCAAAACATTTGCTGTAACTTTTGATTGTGATCCTGAAACAAAACATAAAACCTTTGCATGTCCTCTTTATTTTGGCAGTTATATTCCTAACAGTGACACACACAGAAAATATTTAAAGGGAAACATACAGTAATTTTTATTAACAGTGTGAGAGAATCTGCATCACATGACCTTATTGTACTGAACCCGGTGGTTAAATTTAGTGAGCATACCTAACATTTCCATTCTTTATACTCACACATAAATAGAATCAGTTGTACTTTTACACTGAAACTTCTGGAAACTTAAAATAGAGCCTTTCATCCCACTCCCCTCACCCGAGCTTCTTCCACAAATACACACACAAACGCACACAAACACTGATGCAGGTTTTCATAGCTGGAGATAGTAGTGTGATTAACTGTCGATCTCAAGTTTCTCTCCATTTGCTGTCCGTCTAAATCCACCGTTTGCTAAGACTTGACACCAGATCAGCTTCACATTGTGGGAGAGATGAAGAAAGAGTTTTATATCCAGAGGAGTTCAGACACACACATACTGCACTGTTTTCCTCTTGTTTGTACGTACTTTACAGCCGTTCTGTGTCAGTCCTTTTCATTTATGGTTTCAATGCGTCTGTGTTGGCGTCACAGCTCTGTCGCTAACATCAGACATAAATATCTGAGGTGTTCTAGGACAAAGGGCAGTGAAGCTGAAACCAGAAAAGACATGAGGACTTTGTTAAGTTTGGCAGAAGTAACAATCTCAAAAGATTTAATGGCATAAATTAATGTTTTACTAGAATCACAATGTGCAGATATAATAATAATAGATTTATTTATTTGGCATGGACATCACAGATACATTGGACGAAGCAGATGCATTGTTTAAGTATTTAAGCAAGCATGCTAGTTCTCAACACCTGTCCACGGAGGCTTTTAAAAGGAAAACAATTCAGATAGGGAGAAAAGCGATAAAACAAAGAGAAACAATAAGGAGAGAATAAATAAATAGACATAAACCGTAGAGCAAAGGCAGCATGATCAAACAATAAACCAGTCTATTCATGTGAGCACTGTTGTTTTGATTTTGATATAGTATTTACCTTTTCAATGTGAGCGTGATAGTTTGTTTTGTTTTTGATACTTTCACACTTATCACTTCCATAACATGAGATTGTTTACAAACTGTTCATATTAAATATTAAAATCTAGAATGTGTGCCTTATATTTAAATGTTATATATAAGGCACACATTTTAGATGTGTCCTCCCCTACCTCATACATACAACAGAATAGAATAGAGTAGAAAAGACCAGAATAGAACTGAATAAGAATAGAATAAGATATAGATCAGTAGTATCAAAATAGATAGAATAAAGACTACAATAGAACATATTAGAATATAGAATTAGAATGGAATATAATAGAACTGAATGTGATTAGAATTAAGTATAGATTACAATAGAATAGAATGAATATAGAATAGAATAGATTAGAATATAGAAGGGGATATAATAGCATAGAATATCTCTATCGTCGTTGCACCAGGAACAACAAAAAACAGAATATGCAACTCACCATCAACACAACATAAAAAGAAGATTGCAGCAATAAGACAGTAAAAAAAAAAAAAAAATCCTGTAATCATGCGCAGTTATCTTGTGTAACCCTCTCCTACATCCTGCAATATTACCAAGGCATTTTATCTTAACCTCATATCACAATTATAAACACCATGTTTTTTTTTTAAACGTGTGTGCAACTTTCTGTGCAACAAATAACCTTAAGTATAAATCCACAAGGGAAACAGGGTACATAGTGTGTTTAGTTATTACACTATTATTATTTCTATTCAGTCATTTTTTATCATTTCATTAGCCCCTTTACTTCTCTGTCTTAATCACTTGATGACTATATTTAACAAAGCTCATCTTGTCTTTTCACAAACTATCATTAATGCAGCCTGAGTTAGAGCAAATGTTCTACAGTGACATTTTAACATCACATAATGTACACACTGCATCTGTACAATCAGTTACGGTGAACTTTATGTTGACCTTTGTGAAAGCTTGGTCTCTTAATCCGGTTTGTTACTGCATACTTGTAACCATAGCAACAAATCTCTCATGTTGTGGGTCTGCCTTGGGGCCGCATACCAACGGTGTCTGACTCAATTTTTGAGGAACTTGCAGGGAGTAGAAATAGTTCAGAGAACATTTTCACTTCCAGCTCTGGGTGTGTGGAAATATTTCTGTTTCAGTCAAATAAATGTAGTCATCCATGCGATTGAGGCTGGGATTATCTGAGGTGTATTTCCAGTGTCGCTGTTATTTTCTTAAGATTTGATGATATTTTTCTTGGACTTACCGTGTTTAAAAGAAAAAAAGGCTTAGCTCATGTGTCTCTTTATCTTTTTAAGCTCTGTGTTGAAACATTGGGAAACGGAGCGCTCTCGACGCGCCACATTCTTTCCTCTCTCTCCTCTGCTAATCACATTCAAGACCTCTCAAGTGGGCTGTGATTAGATTGTACAGGCATCCACTGCTTCTGCTGCCATACAAACATGAAATAGACAGAAAGAGAAGAAGGACGGTTAAGGTTTATTGCTTGTAGCTAATAACGCTACTTTTTTTTGGAAGCTCTCATCTTATTTAGGTACTCTTCAGACTAATATGACTGTGTGTATGTCTGAGTTTCATGACCGTGCGTTTCTGTGCAAAAGCAAGGTTATTTTGTACATTACATTCTGTTATATAATCATTGTAATCACATTTCTAAGGGACTGTTGTATGAACAGATCAGACAGAAAAGGATAAACCGGCTGTCTGAATGATACAGTCCTCTAAACTGACAGGATTGTGCTTCTGATTTGCTTTTTCTAATCAAACCAAAACATTGAAAATGTGATTTTACACATATTTCACATTTGTCTCAACATCAACTTAAAGGATTGTCTGAGCATGTTGTACAGACATTAATATTTTCCAGATAATGGGATAAATTTGGCATTTCCATTATGTTTCCTTTAGCGCCACCATGATGTTAGCATGTTATGTAACACAAGATCCTTATATTCACTTTCAATATAGATAGCTAGTCTTTTATTTTTGATAAATACTTTGCCAGCCTGGCTAACTTCTAAGGCATTATTTACAGGCTTATAAATGCTTATGGACACTACAACCAACCATAGCACTTATGTGTCACTAAGAAGTAGTAGGCTGATAGCTATTAGCAACAAGTAAGACACATGGCTTCTATTTTTTTTATTTGCTGATGGAATTACATAAAGAAGTAACGATTTATTGCACATTAATACTCATTCTTTCAATGAACCACCCTCCAATTTATTACTGATGCAACTTAGGACAAGGATAAATCCACGGTATTGGCAGCCATCTTGGACCTTTATGACAAAATCATAAACATTTGTGATTGGTCTGACCAGAATTTGGGGGGGGATGGAAATCAGGCTCAACTGTTGGAGAAGACTTGTCTAGTTTCTGGTTAATAACCTGAGCCAAATACCTGAAAAACTCTACCGGTTAGCTAAAGTCTTACTTTGTGTGTTGCCAGTTCCTTACTAATTTGTTAACGGGGTCAACTAAGTTTAGCTTCTTAAACAATATTAAAGCACTAGTTTCATAGCATGTTAGCATTGTCATTTTGAGCATATTGGCATACTGATAGTGTTTAGTGTTAGCTCAAAGCATTGCTGTAAGGAAGTTTAGCCTCAAAGAGCTGCTAGCATGGCTGTAGATTGTAAAAGACCCCCTTCACTTAATGTTCAAAAACATGTCACTTTTCAATTTAACTTGCCTGTTAAAACATTGTGCGTTGCAGATTTAGCCTTACAGTACTTTCCTAAATAAAACATTAGTGTAAAAAATGGGCCTAGCCTACTTGCTAACTTCCTTAACAATGCTACAATTCAACCATTTGCACCTTTGCAGGCATTATATAATTTAGCTGATAGCAGACAATGCTAATACATTTGTCAGGATTCATTTAGCCTGTTTTTTCTCTCCGTAGTCCTGCACAACCTTGACAGCCACACGTGTCCTCCGGAGGGGAAACGTGTCATCCAGTGTTTCAGATGTGGGGATCTATGCAAGGGAGAGGTACTGCGTGTCCAGAACAGCTACTTCCACATAAAGTGTTTCTCATGCAAGGGTGAGTACAATCATCAGTGGACCTGTGTTTAGGCCAGCCCAATGCTGCGCTCTCTAGTTGTTTGGTACAACTTGAGAGCAAGAAATTGTGTCAGTAGAGATGAATTTGTGTCTGCCTTGAACACATTATTACAGACATTCAGACTCCAGGGGTGCAGGATAGCCTAGTGGTTATGTGGCATGTCCCATGTAGCCTACAGAGGCTATAGTCCTCATTGCAGCATCAGTTGGGTTCCTATTCGACATCGGCCCGTTGCTGCATGTCGATCCCAGCTCTCTCCTCGCAACACTTCCTGTCTCTCTTCATGTGTCCTATACAATAAAGGCAAAAACTCTTCTTTTTTTTTAAGGGTTGTCTGTAGGCTGGAAGTCATTAGAGGCCTTATCATGTGATCATCAATGCATGTCTCATTTAAGCCTTTAGGTAGCAGTAAGATAAAAAGAAACATGTATTTTATTAAGCAGAATTTTCTTATCACTCATGATTAGTCAGTCTGCCTCATATCAAAACATTTCTTCAGGGTTGTTTTGAGAGTTGTCACACAGACATTCACAGGAGTTACTCTGTTTCGTGGCAAACATATTTCCTCAGCATGCTTTTGTCTGCACTAATTGAATCAGACAAGCTTCTCGTGTTGTTCCCCTTTCATCGCATTGTGATGGTGATTACGCTGGAGAGGAAACAAAGAGACTCTCAGTACTTTTGCGGAACTTTAACAGTGAGGAGACCTATAGGGACTGAAGGGGTATTTGGCCTTCACTGAATCAGACTTTGCTTTAAAGTGTTTCACTTTGAATGAGATTCATTTAAATTTAAATCAACTGTTTGGGTTTTTTGTTGTTGAACATTTTTATTTAAGTAAATGTAACTTTGTGGTGCTTAAAGAATAATTATGACAATAATATATAGATTTTTTTAACAGTATCATTATTCTAAAACTAAATATGATTTACACTATTACCTTATGCCAGTGATACTCAACCTGAGGCTCTAGAGCCACACGTGGCTCATTTGGGACTAGTTGTGGCTCTTTTAGGTTCTACTTGGAGAAAAAAATCCAAAGTAATTATTTAAAAAAGGGAAACATTGTCAGCAGGAATTATTCTTTGCAAGTCATGTCACTGTGTTTCCTACGGAGACCTGGAGGTGACATGGATGGTTTTTTTTTTATCTTGCACGCGCGACTTAGTATCTCGCGTGTGCGACTTATAATAAGTGAGGAATTTTAAGGACTAAAGAATTTTAAGGACTATCTTGCAGATAGTACAGAAAAGCAGTAGCAGTGAATGCAGGCCTATTGTAATGGATCGAGACAGTCTCATCATTTTCTTCTTCAATTTAGGTCTGCGTCAAAGAAATACTTAGAAGCATAGCCTTATATGGTTTCATTTTAAGCCAGAGGCATCTTATCAGAATCCTTGGAGAATACAGACTTTGTCGTCGACAATTTTCGGACTTGCAGGAAGTAAGTATTGATTGATTGATTGATTGATTGATGTAGCCTACTGTATTAATCCTAGCCTGTCTTTTATTGTTTGTTTGTTTTGTTTAGTTGGAATCCCATTAGTTAATATACAGTATAATTTACAGGAAGAAGAATATTACATTAGGATATGTAAAGTAGATCTACCTATCTATCTGATTGCAAGAGAACTGGGTCCTTACACATGTGTATATCTGTATGTATCTTTGTCTTTAGCATTACCTTAAATTCATTAATTAATTCCAATATTTGTTAACCAAATGTATATGTGGGACAGTGGCATAAAAGGACATCCCCCTATGTATTTGTTTATTTATTATTTCAGTGCAGGTCAGTCATTGTGTTGTTCTGATGAAGCTCAGAGAGGAGCGTATGATTTACAATGCTGCTATATGTTTATGTTTTCAGAAAAAAGTAAAACAACATGCAACTCCAAGCGCACTGTGGTTCATTCAAGTGTGCTACATATACCCTTATATACCCTTATACCTTGAAATACTCACCTGTGCAGTTGCAAGCAAGGGGAATTTGTTTAGAAAATATAACTTGAGAATAAACTTTGACCTGTAATCCATGTAATGTGTACACATATGTAAAATGTATATTTAACGTGAAATACTGTTTAGTTCTCCTCCACTGTCTCTCTCTCTCTCTCTGTCTGTGTGTGTCTTTCTCTGTCTCGCTCTCTCTCTTTAAGAGTAATGTATAACCTGCATCTCTCTGCATTTTTTCAGGAGGAGTTAAATGAGATAGGAAATGTCTGGAACACACATCGCATCCAACCATCTAGGAACCCTACTGTGCCCAGTGGGATACCTAACATCATGTTTTCAGCACCTCATTTGTGGGGTGCAGATGACCACATAATCCATTTTAATGCCATTGCCCTGGCTACAGCCAAGCAGACCTGCAAGTTCCTAACAACCATCCCATGTGATGAGAACATTTTTGATGTCTGTACCATCACCATGGAAGAATCAGGGTTAGGCTTTCCAAACAACACATCAGAGGCACTGGATTTATACATGTCATTGAGGGATGTTATCCGTCCCCAATTGTTTGAGTAGTATTTTGTGTTGTCTCTCTGTCTGTGTGTAAGTGGGGAGAGGGTCCCTATCCCACCATGTCTGTCGAGAGAGGAGTGGACACTGGCGTGCCCCTCTCTCCAATCATACCTTGCCTGGAATCATTTGAATAACATTTTTGTAAACATTTTGTAGTTTTAGAAATACTGTATATAATATAACATTCAATTCTTTACATACACCTTGTAACTTGTATGAAGATTTACATGCCTTTGCAACTTTCTTAACTGACTGAATCTTTCCCTGCAAGTGTTGCAGAGGTACAGTTTCTCACCTGTGTGAGTTCTCATATGATTCCTAAGAATTCAGTAGTAGTATTTTTTGTTACTGAGTGACACATTGTCCATTCAAAATAGTCTATTTGTCATAAATATATTCTTTAATAAGTTCTGATCAGTATAGGTGAGGAATACAGTAAGTAAATGTGTAAACCATTGTTTTGTGAATGTGTAGCGTGACATTTTGTTGCTGAATGTTGCCTATAGCAGCTTTTAAGGAAATATAAGAAAATGGGAACAATGAAGGCTAATGGTATTCATTTATTGAAGTACTTTCCTTGAAAAGTAACTGCTGCTTCAGTTGCTGTGACTTCACACCTGTAACATGCAGCTATGTATTACTGTAAGACCTTGAGTTGACTTGTTACTGAGTGTCTACCTCTGGGTTTGTCACTGTATAATGTGTTTCAAACTTTTTATTTCATAAATAAAACATTGCGTGTAATTACCATACATGTACCCATACCCATTTGTAATCCATTTGGTTCAATTTCTACACTCTAGAGGTACGGAAATAGCGTTTAGTCAACTTGATACTTGATCTTCATAGGAGACACCTCCAAATACTGCAAATGTGCTAGTTATATTGTATTAACACACTAGACCATTCAGACCGGTTGAAATAGCATTTAAGTAAAAAAGTTTAACTCAGAGCCAAGTTAAATAACAGACTATTGAACAAAGTGCTATTGGCAGAACCGCAGTAAAAGAACATGCATGCCAAACATGAAAAACAAATGAATACTACAATGAATGATCAACGATCTTTCTCCAGACTGCATTCAAGCACAGGTAAACAAAATTGATGACTCCTAACTCATACTCCCCACTCCCTACATCCATTTATGTCAGTGGCAATTCCTCCAATCCTTTGAGCCAGAGTGCAAGTGAGATACAGTAAGTCGCACGTGCGAGATACAGTAAGTCGCGCGTGTGAGATACAGTAAGTCGCGCGTGCGAGATACAGTAAGTCGCGCGTGCGAGATAAAAAAAAAAAAAACCCATCAATGTCACCTCCAGGGCTCCATAGTTTCCCACACATATTTTAGGAAAGAAAGAGGTTATTTGATTGTGACTCTTGCAGAAATATTTTTTGGTCAATATGGCTCTTAAATCTAAACTAGGCTGAGTACCACTGCCTTAAGCCATGTATCAAACTGTACGGGAATTCATTCATCTGTCATATGAAACAATCTTTGAAAATTAAGATTCATGTTAGTGCATTTTTTATTCAGACTGAAAAAAAGCATTTCTTAAAAAGAAAGACCATGCACAGCCACATCCGGACAGAAAAATACTTTGTTGTGTCAGAAATTACTTTTTTCATAAAAGCTTCATTAATTGTGATCTTTGACGACTTTGAGAGAAAAAAGCTGAAAACACAACAGGCATGTTACTCTGATATAAAGCTACAGACAAGTTTCAATGAATTGATTCAAGTCTCTCCACCGCTTGAGCTACTTAGCAGGTAGCAACTCTTCACCAGCTGGATTAGCTCTGTAGCTAGTAGCTAGCTTTGACTGGCTGCTGGGTATAGCATACATCACCCTAACTGAAGTTGTTTGGATGAAAGACATGTTAAAAAATAGGAAACGCTGCAGTTCCTCAAGTGTCAGCTAGATGCTAGCTGCAAAAGGCTCGGAAACCGTATTAGATCCCATTACCCAAAACACAATTTTTGAAATAATTATTTTGGGGCTCTTTGCCTTTATTTGGATAGGAAAGTGGATAGCATGGGATATCTGGGAGAGAGTGGGGCGAGACATGCGGGAAAGGAGTAAGACCTGAACCCCAACCCTTCGATGAAGGACTATAGCCTCTGTACATGAAGCACAACCTAACCGCTAGGCCACCGGCCCCCAAGATGCCCGTCTTTAAAGCAGAACTAGAAATGTTTACAGCCTGGTACAAAGAAAATCTTGGTCCCAAAACATTTCTTAATTTGTCTACACTATTGAGGGTGAATTAGTTTGTATAACTCCTCTTTTTTTGATAATAATAAGGTAAAATAAGGATGTAGCTGATTTGATTAACAGGTGGATGTGTTGTGACTGTTTGTCAGGAGGCTCTAGGCTTTATTTTAGCTGAACCCCTTAACTGACCTTAAACTGTCGACTTTATTTATGTGACGAGCTAGATTGGCCATCCCCATCTTTAGGCTTCATAACGTCTTTTCTGAAACCAATGTGTGACATCACTGAAACAACGTCCATTTTTGATACAGTCTATGATGAAAACAGCTGACAGCTTCTTTCTTTCAACCATAAAAAACAGGATACCAAAACAATGTCCTAAAAAAAGAAAAAGACTGTTTTAAGCAGAGCGTAGCTGTGTTGGGTGCTAATTTATTGTGGGGACAGAACAATACAAGCAACACTCTCTGTGACACAAAGTGCTATGATTCTGTGTCAATGACTTCTGTTAAAAACAGATCTTAATGTATCTATTTTCTGTGTGTGTGCGCAGTATGTGGCTGTGACCTGGCTCAAAGTGGCTTCTTCACGAAGAATGACGACTACCTGTGCCCGCTGGACTTCCAGAGGCTCCACGGCACACTGTGCAGTGGCTGTGGGGAGTTTGTGGAGGGAGAGGTGGTCACAGTCCTTGGGAAGACGTACCACCCATCATGCTTTGTGTGCACTCTTTGCAGGTAATTCAAATCTTACTTGTGCAATTCTGTTCAGAGGAAAAGGACTGTGAGGCATAACTTTGTGTCTTTATCTGTTTTTCAGACAGCGCTTTCCTGCGGGGGATTGTGTCACCTTCAGTGGAAAAGACTGCCTCTGTCAGCGCTGTATTCGACCCATATCACCCACTCCTAACAACGTCAGCTACCCCAGCAGTAAGTTAATTCTTATACAATTTATACTCTCAAACAAAGGATATCGTAGTCAGGTTGAAAATACTAATTGATATATTTTATAAATAGACTTGATCCTCTGCAGACATAATTTAAAAGAAGATCAAGGCAGTTGTCCAGTTTTTTTTGTTTACTGTATTTTAAGTCATTCATGATCATGTGGAGATGAAAACGAGCGTGTATTTCCTATCATGTGATTATTTGGGTGTACTGTTTTTGATTAAGGCTGACACATCCAGGAGATCCCTCGTAATGTCTTGAAAGGCCTCTCTGTGCTCAGTCAGTCCCAGGAATAGAAGAGAAACACTTTCTCTAATTCCAGTCTTAGTCCCTCCTGGCGCACTGTATAAATCTTTTTCACAACACTGAGTTTACATTACCTTAGAAAATCCAGGCAACCTCTTGGATCTTTCCAGGTCAAGTACGTCAAGTATAAGAGAAAGAATAGAAGGCAGCCCTTAGACTATAAATAGAAGAGGGATCAATAGAGGATCCAGACTCGCAGAGCCTCTGGATTATCAAGATCCCCCTATAGGACTAAACAGAAAGTCGAGTTCTGTATTGACAAATGGACTTTTATTGGTTGGTTTATACAATTCAAGAATAAGCAAGACACACTGTACCAAATAGAGGCTGTAAGTTTTCTCTTAATGTGTGTGTTTTCAGATTGCTCTGGCTGCGGCAGAGACATAAAGAATGGACAGGCTCTGTTAGCCATGGCTGCTCAGTGGCACCTCGGCTGCTTCAAGTGTAAAATCTGCAACAAAGTGCTCAGTGGAGAATATATCAGCAAGTAAGTATCTTGTCTCATTCCTATTCTTCTCTCTGTTGTGTTTTCCTTCAGAGCTTTTACAAATATAGGAATATGTTTTATCCCCTTGTCTTTCAGAGATGGTGTTCCATATTGTGAGAGGGATTACCAGTTTCAGTTTGGGGTACAATGTCATGCATGCCAGAAGTTTATAACTGGAAAAGTCTTAGAGGTGAGAAAATCAATTCTAATTGAAGTGTAAGGCCTTGATTTAATCTGTGATTGCCTTTTGTGATGATTTCTCAAAAGTGTAATGGACGCTACTTGACCAAAACAACACACAAATGATTTAATTCTTTCTTTTTCTGGCCATCTTATCTAGGGTTTAAACCCTAGATGTAGAATGGAGCAAACAAAACTCTATTTAAACTTAATTAAATATCTATGTCTATATCTATGTATATGTGTGTATATATGTATATATATATTTATTTAAATAATTTTTCAATTTTTCAATTCTCACAAATCATCTTGAAAACAAAAAATAAAACACACACTCATAAATGAGTTTTCTGTACCTGGACTTTTAGGTGTCATCGTGCAGAATGAGTTTGTTTTGACATATTTCAGCTAAAGCAGAAATGTTACACCTGTAAAAATTTGAAAGTCTTTACAGTGAGGAGAGTAGCATGTATTTGTTTGCACTTGAGCTCTAATTCTTTTGCTTCTGACCCTGACTGTCCAGGCAGGGCACAAACATTATCACCCCAGCTGTGCCAGATGCAGCCGCTGTGACAAAGTCTTTAAAGAAGGGGAAGAAATGTTTCTGCAAGGTCAGTTTGAAAAAGCATCCACACAGATATACATTTACATACATGTGCATGTCTTTGGCACGCTGTAATCTATTTTATAATAATTACTCAGATGCTGTCCCTGCCTTTACAGGAAAAACTATTTGGCACCCTCATTGCAGAGACATCAGCAGCAGAACGGAGGATAACTACAGGGTAAGATCTCAGTCAAACATATGTTTAACACGTGTTACTGCTGTTACAGAGAGAATGTAAGTGGGATATTAGTGTAAGTTCCTAGGATGACGTGAACACTGACATTTTATTCCACATTCTCTTCCTCCCCAGGTCAGCAGACAAAAAACACCTTGTCTTGATTTCTATTACCCCCCACGTGAAGTCAAGGTTAATATTGTCACAGAGCCTGCAAGCCATTTGCACTGTTGTAGTTTTCCTATAGTGAGTGGGTTTACATGGGATTTAATCTTGCCTCTTGAGATTAACAGCACTTGCTTGTTTCACATGCGATGTGAACACTTTGCTCAATGGGCCAGTTAGATCTCATCTCTGATTCAAAAAAGCAAAAAAACAAAACAACCTTTGGATCATTTGAATTAGATTGCTTTGAATATGTTACATTTTTCAGTTGAAAAATGGTTTGAAAAAGATTTATTATGAGTGCTTGTAAAGGTAATGTAATAAAAGTCCAACTTTAATGCATTCCTTTAATCAATAACTGTCTGTATGAAACATGAATGATGACAGTGCTGCATTCTGTGTTCTTTACTGACATCTACTGTACACTGAAATATACACTTTGTGTTGAAGACGATGGAAACCCCAATCAACAATCACAATTAAATATATACTCTGGGGTGTTATGTACATTGGGTTTGAATGAGGAGTAATAAAGGTTAGAAGAAAATAAAAAACAATTACACAATATTTCTAATAAGACAACTCTGTAAAGTCACGTTTTCACTGTTGCAGATGTTGAATGTCGACCACAATATAATTTTTATTTCTTTTAGCTGTGGGTGTTTAGTGTGGGCTCTTGATGATACACTTTCTGCATGGGCGTTAGTTTTTTGTGCCCCCTGTGGACATATCAATACTTTTTGTTTCTTTGCTGATTTTGTCCTGTTCATGCAAAAGGTTTTCTTTAAACACTTTTTTTATGTTGCTGTCTTTTAACGGGAGACTGAAAAATGAACATAAAAGTCTATTTCTGCAGAGTGCTGTCAATCAGTTTATTTGACATCTACCGCTGACAGCAATTTCAGACATTTCAGACAGAATTTTCTAGTTGATAGTCTGTTTGCTTTAATAGGAAATAAATAGACATAATCATTTCAATCTGAAAGAATGAATCTCAGCTGACATTGCACAGCGTCATACCTATTATATGGCTAGCAAAGCATTTTGTAACGTACAATATGCAGTGTTCTTGCTTCCTCCTCTGATTCTTACTCAAACAGATCAAACATACTGTTAAGTTTTGAACTTATTCTCACATTGGCTTTTGTTGTGTATGAGCGGGGGGATGTCTATCAAAACATGATCTGTCACTCCAGCACAGCCTGCAGGAATAGTCTAAACAGCAAAGGAGTTGTTTCTGACAGTTATGGATATTTAGTTCAATTAGGCTAACATGTGTGAAAGCTTTGTGGGACTAAAAAAGTGTAAATGAATTGAGCATTTTTTTTTGAGACACATTTCTACATGTATTGATACCTAGAAAACAGTTCCTTTTCATTTGTACTTATTCTACACATGATTGTTCATGTGACTGCATGATATACTGACACTGTTCACTGCTTCATAATGATCCAAAGACAAAACAATGAGAGGACACTAGCTGTGCTTGTTGTAGTGACACACTTCAGAAACAAATGTAAACCTGACCGCTGTATTTATTTATTTTTCTTCAGCCAACATCCTCATCTGAAAGCTCGTCCTCCAGGCCGGGCTCGTGCACCCCAGGGAGTCCTGGTCGAACCATCTGCGTAAGTTGGAGCAACAATGTCAATTTTGCGTCTTCCGTGGTGCACCATCCACTGCTGGTTGATTTACAGTTTATCCTTTATTCAAACAGGGGAATCGCATGGACAAAGGGTCTCTCATGCAAGATGTTTCTTTTTGACAGTTAATGCAGACTTTTTTTATTTAGGAAAATAGAAAATGTGAAAGCTGAAAACATTTTTTGATAATGAAGGTTTTCAGCTTTACCTTGACTGGTCGGAACTAGTTTCATCTTGCCCATGAGAGAGAAATGGGGTTTCAATTGTGGTTGAATGATGCGTGAACAATTTCTAAATGTAAACATAGATACACAGCAAAAAGATCAACCACATATTGAACGGGAGTTTAGATTAATTTGCTCGATCAATTTGAATTTGCTGGCAATTCAGATTGTATTTGATTGTAAAAGAAACAAAAATCCAGTGCTTTCAATGTCCTTTTGATTCCTCCACTTAGTTTGTTATGATCCAAACCCTGGTGGTTTACCGTGTGGAATAAACTTCACATCCATTAAAACACCTATTAAATATGAGCCAACTAATATTTACTTTTTGTTTACTGAAAGCCTGAGTAACACTTTATGTTTTGAACAGAAAGAGGCTACAGATAATGTTTATCCGTTCACATCTTGTGCCAAAATGGTGTTGTTGGATTCAAGTTTCATTCCATGATGTAATGTAATGAGTGACCCTTGACCCTTTATTGTATGCTCCCTCTATCTTCCCCCTCTGTGTCCTTCTCCTCACTCCTTTCCTCCCCTCTCCTCCCCTCTCCTGGTCCCAGGCAAAAGTAGATAATGAGATCATTGATTATCGAGACTTAGCGGCGATTCCCAGAGTTAAGGCTATCTATGATATAGAGCATCCTGATATGATATCTTATAAGAGTGTGAACGACACCCCCTCTACTTTGGACAACAAGAGCCAAAGACAGGACAGGCAGAGCCCTGCAGAGGTAAACTCCATTCACCGCTCCGAGCATTGATCCACTGATATGTTTGTGTGTCATTGTTAGGTGTCTGTTTTTCTTGGTTTGATATACGAGTCAAACCAAGTGAGGTTGTGTTTTGTCCTTTGGATATGTGACTGTATTTGGCCCATTATGCAAAGGACTGTGATCTGAAAAGAGATACATGTTTGTAGGTGTCAAGATAAGGCAGGCAGGATCTGCAACATTCCTCTTAGTAAGCATCTTAAGTATTAAGTTACAATTCAAATTTGACATGTGTCTTTTTAGGTTCTTCAATCTTCCCTTATACTGGTTTTAGTACAGTTTGGTTATTAAATACAGAAATGACACCACAAAAAAAAACACAATAAAAGTCTCTTGGGCAGCTAAAGTGCTAGCATCACCCATCAGTTATTACTGACAGTTTTAAAGGTTATTGATGTTGACCTGAGTGTCAGTTTTTGGTTGCAGGACTTTATTGCAGGCTGTTGATGATTTATTTACAGCATGGATGGAGGGTTGAGGGAGTTAGCCATGTGTTAATATAGCAGTAGCTTATGCCACACTTAGCTAGCATACATTTGTGAACATACGTGCATTTTAGCTAACATTGCATTTTTATGCTAACTACTTTTGTAACTTACTTTTCAGTGACCAATTGAAATTAACTTAAAATCTATTAGCAGGGCTTCTGCTTCTTCATAATCTATTTTTGACTCGGATGTCTCAAGCACAATGTTTAGGACAGAAAGAGCTGCATTACACTGAAGTCACATGCACTCACACATTCTTCAAAAAGTGAGGTTTTCTGATAGTAGTTAGTATTTATTTTGTGGATGCTAAAAATAATGTTCTACCATGATTTTACTTTTTGATGCCACATGTCTCGAGGCTTTAAAGAACGAGATGCTTATTCTGAGTAACTGACATTACTATCAGCAGTGAAATAACTCTAAACCAAACCGTCACTGTGAATATACATATATGTATATATATATTATTTAATTTAAATGATAATACACGCACACTTATTTATGTAAATACTGTAATTGACATCTTAATTGACCCATCTGTCACATAACTGCATTTTACTTGTCATGTTACTTCAGCATCTTTTGCACTATTCACCACTGCACTGTTTCATATTTAGTCATGTAAATATTAGTCTTTTCTTACTATGTTTATTGTTGATATTTAATGTTGTACCTGTACATAAGAGAGCACACTTCACCTAAGTTAAATTACTTGTGTGTGTAAGCATACCTGGACAATAAATCTGATTCGGATTCTGATTTAGATCAGAGAATGTTTGCTCGCTAAATGTGTCGTCAACTCATTAAGAAAATAAAGTCTTTAGTATTTAATGGCTTCTTAGAATATCTAGCCTCCTTTTAACCCCCCCCCCATATGTCTTTATGTGAAAACCTCTTAACTCCAAATTTATTTTGAAATCTAGCTGAAATATTTCAGTTAAAAATACATATAATCAAACAGTCAAAGATAAGATTTTAAATTCTGAAGCTCGAGGTTGTTTGTTGTGATATCAGACAAATTTGGAGATACAATGTTTTCACCGCACGCGTACAATGCTTTGTTTTAATGGTTACTACTGCACTTTTTTTTTTGTTTAGTCACCAGGAAATGTATCTGTAACCACTGAGGTAAAGAAACTGTTTTATTAAAGATCCTTACATAAACATATTTAAGAGATATTAGTATGACCCCTGTAAAATTCTATTATATCACTTTAATAGCTTTGGTTTGTTGTGATTTTAACTCTGTTTTTTTTTTTTTATGTTTTAAAGGACAATTTAGAAATACGAAAGTACATACCTCAATCTACAAGCCACGGATCTTTTGGAGTTGGGATGCACACTCGTCATAGCTACACCCCAACGCTGTCCAGATCCCCACAGCACTTCCACAGGCCAGGTGAGAGACGACATCCAAGAGTCTCATTTCCTTCACCACCTTTGCAAAGATAATTAAAAAAATCCCACACATCTCACTTCTTCCTCTGCAACCTCAAAATCTCCTCCACTTTCTTCCCACTGTTCTTCTTCTATAATAAGCAGGCTCGAAGCCCTCTCCCTCTTTAGTCTCTGACAACAAAATCACCAGCCCCACCTCCCCTATATTTCACCCCACCCTCCCTCACTTCAAAGGTAAGATCCCCCATCTGCTCTGCAACTCCTCTTCTCTAATTACTGTTGCCTTGATTATTGCTTTGTTCTACTTTTCCTATTAAACTCATACACAATCTATGCTTTACAATGTAAGGGAACATGGTGAGTGAAACAGTCAAATTAAATCCCCAAGTAGTAAAAATAAAGTGATTTAAGGGTGGGATTTGAAGTTTAGGAGAAGGCTGTGAATAACTTTGTTCTTAGAAACACTGAGCCATCTAGTGGTCAAAGTTCAGAGAGACTGTCAGCCGCCCACACACACCTCATTCACCTCTTGGTACTTTATGAGACAGCTCAGCAAACACACAAGCTGCTCCCTCAAAATATTTCACTACACTTTGTCCTTTCTCTTTCTATCCATTTTACCTACATCTAAAAATAAACCTGCTCAAATTGATTTCAAAGTTGTAGATATATATATATATATATATATATATATACTGTTTGGATTGTGCCTGTTTCCTACTTCAGTCAAAATTCCTCTACACCTGATTCTATTTATAGCAGCACTGTGAATATTTCAAAGCCTGCTTTAGTGTGTGTGTGTGAGTGTGTAAGAGATATGAAATACTTTGACAGTTAATCATTAGCAGGTTTTTTTGTGGTGCATCTAAAAATAACTAACAACCTGCACTGCCTGGATTTTTGTTTACAATGGCGAGCCGTGTCTCACTGCATACTGAGTCCTCCTGAACCGCTCGATTTGAAACATGAGATTCTTAAATTATGTTGATGATCATTTCAGAAAAAAAAACTCCATTGACTTTTTATTCTTTTGCACTGCTGGCCTGTTTTATGCTCCCTGATTAGACTCAGGTAGAATGTGATATAAAGGTCACCATAGTTGTTGTTTACATGTTAAACCTTCACCTCAAGCTTTTGAGCACTAATTCCACTTTATATTAAGATCGACATGTTCAAATGCTACTCCAAACTGATTCTGTTGTTTTATATAGAAAACTAAATTGGTGAAAAGTCTTGGATATTGTTTTATAACTTATAGCCCCCTAATTTTTATGTATGCCTTTTTTTTTAAATAATGTTTGACAGGTTGAGCAGAAACAGGTTTTTACGTTACTGCATATAATTATTTGATATTGAAACACTAGTCATACTACTAGTACTATACTAAATACTGTAAATACTGTAGCACTTCAATCCCAACCCGTACTGTTATTTCTCTTTATTATAACAAAACAAGATTCTATATGTCCAATACTCTGTCATCGAGCAGCTTTTTTGCATGTTGTCTCAGTTTCTGTATCCTATTTCACAATGTCAATAAGACAAATATATAGAGAAGAAAAAGGGTTTGACGGACAACTGCATGCATCTGAACCACTATAGTATAATTCCTTTTCCTTATAATTCATTTTCTGCTGACGCTCAACTCTGTTCTATCTGCAGATGAAGGCTTCAACATGTACAGGAGGCCTCCGATATACAAACAGAAAGGTACAGTATGAGTCTCTCATCTTTCTGCTGCTTCAAACAGTCTCTCTGTTCCTTCTTAAGTTCTGATAGCTGTCTGTCATCGTCTGAACTATCCTTTGTTGCATCATAACCAAATATCTTACTGTGTCCTCGATTTAGTCTTTTATTTAAAATGAGGTTATAATGTCTATATTTGTATAGTATCACTATTTCTGTACTTCTTTAAGTCTAATGACTCTGTTTAAATCCTAAAAGCTGAGCCAGGGACGGGGTGAAAATTAACCACCGCGAGAAACCTGTCTGCACGGCATCTACTTTGTATTTAATATATGAAGCAATTTTTACTGCATGTGTCCTGTTCAATAAACAAATAACAGAGTTTAAGTAAAAGACAGTGAAGTAAATGCATTCTGTTCAAATTAAAGTCACAATTATAAACAACAATTTACATGAATGTATTGCTTCAGTTTTAGCAGTCACACATCAGGTCGACTTGATACATCCTTGTATTTGTTTTGTGAGATGCCTTAGAGTTATAGGCTGTCTGGCCCCTCCAGAGTTCACACCGTGTGGTGTAAGGTCACAGTACAATATAAATCAGTATTTACTATAAGCTGCAGGTAACCAGTTAGTGAAGTAAACACGTTTGACCTCAACAGCAGCGCCAAATGGGCTTATGGAAAACCTCAAAATAGAGCAGTGCTGAGAATTCCCTCTCAAAGAACAATTAGGAAAGGCTAATTAAAGAACTTTGTAAGGTCTATTTCTTCTCATTGAGTCTGATCTAATTTAAGCAAAGACCTGATTCTGACTCCAAGTGCTAATCTGTCTGCTGTTTCACTTCCAAGATCCTCTTTCCCCAACATCCCAAACATTTTCCCTGCCCGGATACGGTCGCAGCGGTCTCAATCCGGTAAGAACAACACCAATGATACCTGACGTACTCTACTATGTAATACCATTCAGAGAACATTCATGTGATTCAGGAGTTTGAATGTAGTGAATATTCAAATTCAAATGAAGAAACTGTTCAATTCAGTCATGTCATCTTCCAGGATTTATATGTAGACTTCTAATATAATATATATATATATATATATATATATATATACACACTGCAAAAAGATAAACTATAGTCGTAGTGGTACATAGAACTGATGTTGACACACATCCGAGTTGCTGTGTCAAGAGTTTTGAGTATTCATTCTTGTAAACTGTGGACAAAAGAGAGGTTTGAATGTGTTTTCTTCTCATGTAGCCAAGGTCTGCTGATTTCTCCAACTACAACAGTGACAGATTCAAAGGTAGGTGTGTAGTCACCATGTCCATTAATCACTAAAGTTATAAAACAGTAAGCGATGAATCCATTAGATATTAATTGTTTTTTCTTTTCCTTTCTCTTCAGACTTTAAGGTATGTTAGAAGAACCTGAATGGAGTGATCTCAATCTGTGTCCCTCTCCTGTTCACTGCCTCTCTAAAGGACCGCTCTCTCTCCTCACTGCCTGCATGAGCATGTTTTTTATGAAGTGTTAATTTCTGCTCAGCTTCAGTGCAAAGTGCACTAATAGGTTTCTTAATTGTAAACAACCTTTATTGCACTTTACACAGGACTCTATGACTTTCATTTTCATTATTTATCCAGTAAGTTTGCAGCTTTGCAGTGACTAATCCTGTCATGACATTTCCCCCTCGTTGCATGTGTTTGCTTCATTCTGTAGCTCATCTGTGGCGGTCAACACCCATTAACATACATGGACAGAGGAGTGTCTATGCCTAACTTGTTGGAACCAAAAGCAAGTATTATTTGACCTTTTTTATGTTTTTTTTTTTTACCACAATTGAATTCATTTTTTTGTGTGCTAGAGAAAAACTTAAACAGCAAATATTTGTTTGGAATACAATGGAAGCACAAACCTTCCAGTAATGCTTTAGCACGATCCAGTGTGAGAGCATTATGAAAGTCATGACTAGTGCTAATAAGAACATGCTCCTAGCTGTATTCCTGACCCTTAAGACTCAAACACTGATACTACAGATTATAAGTATCTGTGATAAGTATACAGTGGTTACACAAGATGCATCTATGCATGCTACAATATGTATATCTTCTCTTTTTCTATTTCAGAGCTCTTTGGTATATTATGTTCAGTTGTTTGTGAATTAACTAATAGAGAACTGTCTTTGTTATGTCAAGATCTATCCGTATGAAATACTCACAGTAGTAAACAGAGGACGAGTGAAGCTTCCCAGGGATGTCGACAGAACACGACTCGAGGTACTGTTACATTCAATTCAATTCAATTCAATTTATTTGTATAGCGTCAACTCATAACAAGTGTTATCTCAAGACACTTTACAAAAAGCAGGTAAAATACCTTACTCTTTGTCTGTTAACATTACAAAAGAGCAGGTAAAAAGACCTTACTCACTGTTATGTCACAAAAAGCAGGTAAAAGACCTTACTTATTGCTATAAGTTGTTCTGGCAGGCCGTCAACCAAAGATCCGGTGGGGAGGGGGTAGGGGTGGGGGTTGTTCTGGCAGGCCGTCAACCAACGATCTTGAGGAGCCTAAGAGCGCTCAAGAGCGCTCAGGAAAGTAGGTGGTTAGTGACTGAGATTTACAGATAGATACATGCAGTAATATGATGTACTGTATATGCACAGAGAGAGAGAGAGAGAGAGAGAGATAGAGAGAGAGAGAGAGAGAGAGAGAGAGAGAGAGAGAGAAGCTTAAGGTGCCAGTTCCCCCGGTAGCCTAAGCCTATAGCAGCATAACTAAGAGCTGGTCTACACCAGCACTAACTATAAGATTTATCAAATCTATTCTTAAAAATACAGACTGTGTCTGCCTCCTGGACCCTGTCTCGAAGGCGGTTCCAGAGGAGAGGAGCCCGATAACTGAAGGCTTTACCCCCCATAGTACACTTAGAGGCTGTAGGTACCACCAGCAGGCCTGCACTCCGGGACCGCAATGCTCTCGAGGGACAGTACGGCACTAGTAGCTCCTTAAGATAAGATGGTGCCTGGCCATTTAGAGCTTTGTAGGTGAGAAGAAGGATCTTGAATTCTATTCTAGACTGTATGGGGAGCCAGTGCAGAGAAGCCAAGACAGGAGTGATGTGGTCCCATTTCCTGGTTCTGGTCAGTACACGAGCTGCAGCGTTCTGGACCAGTTGAAGAGTCTTCAGAGATTTGCCAGAGCACCCTGACAAAAGAGAGTTACAATAATCCAGTCTGGAGGTAACAAATGCATGAACTAGTTTTTCTGCTTCATTTTGCGACAGGATATTCCTGATCTTGGATATATTACGAAGGTGAAAATAGGCTGTTCTTGAAACTTGTCGGATGTGAGAGCTAAAAGACATATCTTGATCAAAAAGAACTCTTAGATTCCTAACAGTGGTGATGTCAGGCTGATGTCACTAAGGACAGTCATATCACTAGAAAAAGTCTCTCTGAGGTTCTTAGCACAATAACTTCAGTCTTGTCTGAGTTAAGTAGCAAAACATTTCTGGTCATCCAGGTCCTAACGTCCTTAAGGCATGTTTCTAGCTGACATAACTGACTGGTGCCATCGGGCTTCATTGATACATAAAGCTGAGTATCATCTGCATAACAATGAAACTGTATGGAGTGTTTCCTCATAATATTTCCCAGAGGAAGCATATATAATGTAAAGAGAATTGGTCCAAGTACTGAACCTTGTGGGACTCCATGGCAAACTTGTTACATGTGACCGTAAAGGAGAAAAAAAAGCCATGTGGGCAGTGATTCATGTCAAACAGAATGTTAAGTACAATATGTAATAATCTGCAGCTGCTTAATGTCTTTCTTTAGAAATAACTGATGTCAAAGTCTTTATCAAAAAATGCACCTTTCAAATCAACTGTATTGACCTTTGCTGTTTTCCTTTGCAGCGCCACCTATCCCAGGATTCATTCTTTGAGGTCTTTGGCATGGACATTCAAGAATTTGACAAACTGCCACTTTGGAAACGTAATGACATGAAGAAGATGGCAAATCTCTTCTAAATGCTGCCTCAAGAATCTTTCAACTCATTGAGAATATGCAGTAAATGTAAAGTTTTGCATTTGCTACAAGAAACAAAACAAACAAACAAAAAAAATATGCCAAGAACTGGATGAAGTCATCCTTTCTGGGGCTACTTTATTAAAAATAACGTTTTTTTTTTTTGTTTTTTTTACCTCACTCTATCTATATTTGTAGCTTCAGTAATAATCAGCTGTCAGCCTCCAGATATTACATTTGCTTTGAACAAATCAGTTTACCTTGCTGTTGCTAAATCCAAAAAGCAGCAGATTGCATGTCATTCTTATAGCATGCTGGAAGTACAGTCAGTTTGTCCTACTTAAAAGCCTTTTGAAAATACTACCCATACCTGATATCTATGGTGCAATGATTTATATAATAATGGATTCTTTTAAGAACTGGATGCATTTTACTTTTGTTGATACTTTCTTATGCTATTCCTTTTTTGTGACACCTTTCATATTCAATATGATGAAGCATCAAAACTGAGAAAAACCAGTCTTGTGTATCTGTCACTGAATGATCACTGAAATGTGCTTTGTTTTGGACTCTTAAAAAGACACTGAATTTTGTTTGATATTTGACTTTGAAAATTGACTTTGCTCTATTAGTCATCACAGTATATTTTTTGTGGATGCTGTTCTCCCATCACAACAACTCAAGCGCCCTTAATAAAATCTCACACTGAGGAAAGAATGCCTTTGTATGATGATGTTGTGATTGTGCAAAGAGATATTTCTTCCTAGAGAATATGTGTTCTTGTATGTAAGGCACAGCTCCCTGGAGAATGTAATGTCCTGATAGAGTCACATTCATGAACACTGCTATATAGTGCTTTTCTAGTCTTCCAACTACTCAAAGTGCTTTTACACCACATGTCACACCCACCCATTCACACCCTTTCACACATTGATGGTAGTGAGGATTGCTATGTAGTATCAGCAGTAGTAATTTGGGGTTATGTGTCTTGCCCAAGGACACATTGGACATGTTGCCCAGCTGGGGATTGAACCCTTGACCTTCTGGTTGAGAGGTAACAACTCTACCAACTTAGCCACAGCTGCCCTCTCCATACAGCATGCATTTTTTAAAGCGTGCATATTTTTGTCAAAATCAACAATAGCTACGGTAAAGAATGCCTTTTGAGGTATTAATAAGCTGAGCTTTCCTTTCTCTTAATTAAGACCAAATTACAAAAAGAATTGCACAAGATAAACTTCATGGAGAAGAAGAAGCGATAACCAAAGTACCGCAGTGTTTCCATTATCACCCGCCAAGCAGTTTAAAAACGTTTAAACGTGACATCTTATCTATGGTTATGAAGTGAATGCAGTGATTGATTTTAATAGACAACATGTGCCATACCAGTATGCTGCAACGCATGACAGCATTTTCATCACATCACAACATCGAGTAACACTTCATATTTACATGGAGAGCAGTTTATCAAAGTCAGAGTCCTTAAACAGCATACCTGGCCAGTATAGCTGATTCTGGTATTTTGACTCATGAAAGTATTGAAAATTCCCCGTCTTAACTCCAACTGTCCATAAATCCTTAAAACCCATTAGATTTGGCTCCCTCATTGTACAATCTTAGCCCAGGCCATTGATAGTCTAAGACCAACAGATGGTGCTCTGGAGCCGGGAATCAAAACATGAATTCAGGATTGGTTTCCATGTTTAAAAGGTTCATTAAAGAGCCGTCTTTATGCTTCTCTTTGTGAAGTATGTTTTCTCTATTTGTCAAAATGCCATGCAGTAGTGGTGTGACAATGGCCTCCATCACTGAACCATCGTTTGATTCTTTCTTTATCAGCCAATTACAAGACAGATATGATCATGTCAGCAAACGAAATCCCCATAAAATGTACAGTATTAATGTTCTTTTATTTACCAATCTGTTGTTAAGCCCCTTGTTAAGGGCTACACAGAATATACCCATATCATCAAAAACGTAAAACATTTCTGTAGAGGTTTTTATTTTATTTTAAATATTTTGTGTGATTTTGTTTCACCAGATAAGTAAATCATGAGGGAACTTTCTTAGTTTTTTAAATACGCCTTTCTGTTCATACCGGCTCCCTCTAACTTGGAAAAACCTCTGAATACATGTTGGTTGTACATTTTTCTCTGTTTTATAAATGATTCTTGCTGTTTTAAATTAAACTCAATCATCACATTTCTGAGCACATTAATGAATAAAAAGTGAGTTGGTTGGTTTATAATCATCACATAGATTCACAATTCTTAGACTTCTTCATTAACATACAATTAGAATATGTGTTTGTTTCGTAGTCTGTGTACTCTATCCTTCCTCACAGTAGGTCATACACTACAGGCCTGCTGAGAGAGAGCGATGAAGTGTGTGTAGTGAGTTCTGATTTAGAATATAAAGCCAAGTATAACATTATCTATAGGCCTATGTGGCTTCCAATTAAGCCAATGATCAATTATATTTAAGACTATGCCTAGATTTGGCTTAGTAAAGTCTAGGCATAGTGATTGGGCCTTATCAGAAAAATTATCTATTTCAACAATGATATAAATCGTTGACTTCTACTTGATTCATGAATTGCTTGTTGCCAAAAGTAATAAACTTTGTTTTTCTTTTAAATAATCTAGTAGCAAGTCTAACTTGAAGCTTATGGTCTGTTTTTTTTTGATACACAGTAAAAATGTTAGCTCAGGTTAATATTCAAAACGTTGCAGCGGAACAGATAGTTTTGGTTATTATCATAGGGCTCTTTAAAGCCCACCAAGCTTGAGTGAAAGTATTAGAGTTTATTACGCTTTCTATTGGACGCTGGCTCGGCTGTGGGCGTTTTAGTAAACCTGATTGGTCATGCTTGCTGCCACTCATCACCTCCGTCTCTCCTGAGCCCCTCCCCATCTCCCCACCAACTGGATGTGCAGGCCCGAGCGAGGATTTTCACGAAAACAGCCACAGCAAACTGCGTACCAGTCCAAACGAGAGGGGTGTAAAGACGAACGCGGCCCGAGGCTCTGGACACCGCGGAGTGACAGCCGAGTAGATGGCGTTCTTAAACTTACCTAACGGTTTGAGGCCTTAAACAGAGACGTAAAGAAGAGCGAAAGAGTTTTTACGGCAATGAATGCGATCTCACTTGTTTGATAGAAAGGACGGAGAGAGAGAGAGGGGCCAAACTCCCTCCCTCCGTAGAGCTCGTTCCGCCCGATGGAGGTTGACGGGACGTTTTGCAGCGAGCTCGAGGCCCGGAATGTCACCTGTGAAACGTCGGCACGTCGTCGCAGGACGTAATTAAGAAAAGCTCGCGCACACCTGTCCACGACTTTTTTTTGTTGTCAACTTCTTAGTAAAGCGGAAAAGCAAAAGTTAGCTGTGCGATGCGATCCCTCTCTCAACATGACTATCATTGATAACACATAACGAGAGGTTCTTCACCGCCTCAGGTAACCTACCAGGACAAGTGAACGACGCACTCTTACCTGTTTACGGACTTTGAATCTGATGCCAATCTTCTACAAAGTTGTCTCATTATATTTCACCATCAGCAACTTGACTCCAGCCCACTGAACAGTGTTTGTGTGTAAAAACAAGCAGTTCTTGGATATTTTTTGTGTCGCCTTTTCCATCAATCATGTCACTCAAAGACAATCCGTGTCGGAAATTTCAAGCCAACATTTTCAACAAAAGTAAATGCCAGAACTGCTTCAAGCCCAGAGAGTCACATTTGCTGAATGACGAAGACCTTAATCAGGTAAACAATTCATTTTGAACACTTACATTTCATACTTTTGATATGTGTGAGCTGACCTGTGTGACTGTGACACTGAAGCCTGTGTGATGTGCACTGCTCTGTTTGTCGTGAAGTGCAAAGGTTAGCTTAATTGGACATAATTAGTTTCCAGCCCAAGGGCGCATATTGACCTTAATTCATCCATCCAGCATTGTAACCTATATCTTTTCTGTTGCATCAGTTAGGTTAAGGTTAAAAATGCTGCTTACTGTTGCTACATTGTCCCATCCTTTTGCCATATTGCCTGATTGCTTTCACTGTTTTACATTATGCCTAATTGAGCAGTCAATACCCCCCCCCCCCAGAGGCCCTATAGGAGACGTAAACAAATCTAAATAGTTGTTTACATTAAGTTAAAATATCACAATTGCATTTGTTTCACCCACACTGCCTGCTGAACTGTGTTGTTGGTTTTGGCAGTCCATGAATGGTGGCATCAGGTCACATTGTATCGTGATCAGTCCTCCTGCTAAGCTGATAGGCTAAAGAGTTACCTCCAGGGAGAAAGTTTGGATGAATTACACTCCTGGCAGTAATTCTTCTTCTGTTGATATCGTCTACAGCTTGTCATTATAAGGACTTGTATTGAGCTAAAATTGGAAAATATTCCTGTGATGAATGGATAGATTTTATGTCATTTTATAAAAGAACACAACAACATTTTGTTTGCGTCAATCCCATACAGCAGCTTTACAAATCTTTTCACATATTAAAAATATATTCTTAGTTGTCAGATTGGAGATGGTCTTGAGGTTATTTGTCCTTCTGAGGAGAATTCCTCACCCACTGATTATCAACCTTATCGTGTGGCTGCATCAAGTGAGAGGTTACATCTGTTGTAAAAAAGACTGAAGACCCAGGACAGTCTTTCTGTTTGAGTCCTACCTCAAGTAGATCCTGATGGACTGCAAGTCTTATTCTTTGTTGCCTTATCGACCGGCCTATGACAGAAGTTCACAGACCCACGCTGTCCCTTGGTGCAGTATTACACAGTCATTTATGATGATGGTGGTTGTGAATGTTGCCAAATGAACACACACAACCACACTTTAAAGACTCAATTTAAACACTGAACTGTTGAAGGGTATATGTGAAGATAGTGTCTGTGCATATACATGGTCTTTAGACTATTCTTCACAGACAGGGGGAAGCTAGTGTCCTAGCAGAAGTGTGATTCTCTCAACACTGGTGGGAACTACCCTTTCCTGCAGACCCATTATCAAATAACATCTGCAAGGTGTCATAACCTCTCAGGTCGTCTTTCCCACAGATGGATGCTGTTCCTTTTGCAGAAACTCTTGCCCTGTGAGGTGAAATGGGTTAGGAGGACATATGATAGAACATTCCTGTTACATCCTCTTTGTTTACAGAGTCACTCAGCTGAGCAGTGATGCTGGATTATCTCTGAAGTTATGACTGTAATCAAAACCACTGATAGTGGGACACATGGAGGTGCAAGGCTGGTGCAAAAAGCTTTTCCAACTTGATTTGCAGGCTTATGCTCCAGAGACTTGCAGTTGAATTATGTAACCTTCTTAATTTGTTAAAGTCTTTAGGTGGATACCTGGTGGTATACACGTTAAGTGCAATGTGTGCTCCTGTTTACACAACCCTGCAGTTGTTCTACAGGATTTTTCTATTTTGACTCAACAAACAAACAAACAAACACTACTAGTGTGGCTGAAGTTCAAGATTGTACCAGACCGGCCAGGCCAACTTGCATGTCTTGTTATGAGTTTGAATTGCAAATCTGTAGCCACTAAAGTGCTCAGACCCTGTGCTACTCTCCTGTTTCTGATCCACTGTTTTGCTAACTTCTGCCTTTAGCTGCCCCGTTCCACCCACCAGTCCATCCACTTAGAGGATCAGAGGGAAAATCATGTGTTAGCCTTTCCTTTTTTCTTTTTTTCAGGGC